TTGTTGCATTTATCGTCAGCCTGGTTCTTTAGATCGATATATACACTTGTGACTTCACGTTAAACTCACATAAAGGGGCTGAATATAAAAACAAAATCATGTCTTGCTGTGCATTCAGAAAATGCTATTTTCTGAAGATGGTACCGTGTTCTTCTCCCTCCCCAAAGGTACAGTGTGGGAGCCTGATGACTCATTCAGTGTCTGGAAAATGCCACTAGATTAAGGCACTGCTAAAAATAAGCACCTACTGCTTGAAAGGGAGGAATAAGATTGGCAGAAAGCCAGGCATGTTTGGGTCACTCTTCTGTGAGAAGGATGTACAATCTGAATATATGAAATGTGTATTCGCTAAATCTGAATCTGTCATTATACTAGTCATAAGATATAATGGTCATATTTAATAATGCAAAGGGCAGTAACCATAGCAACGCGCCAGCAGTTACCTTTCACTGATCTAGTTAAAGATAACATCTGGTTGCTATGGGTTACTACATTAATTTCTCTTTGCACTACCTTATTTAAGAAGCCCAATTATGCAAGTCTACTTTAGTGTTGGATTTGTGTGTTTACTTAAAGTAATATTGAACTTACATTTTATTTCAATAATGAATCCTGATCAAACAAATATACATCGCCCAGCAAAGTATTTCTTTACCTTCTAGCCCAAACACTTTTCATGTTTCTGTACAGTTAGCTCCAACTCTCTCATCTCTGCTTCCCTGAACTTCCTGTGCAGTGCATGGTTTGCCTTGCTGTGCCTGTGGAGACAAGCAGAGCATACTAGCACACATAAGGGTGACTCGATAGGACCCTGCAAGGGAAAGGAGCCACCCTACGGGTCAGACATGGTGTGAACAAGCCCAAGTTTGTTTCTTGTAGATTCAGCTGGTCCCCTGAGCACTAGCCCTGATATCCTGTTTTAGGGCCGGTTCACACCAATTCCAGTGCATTCCAGCATGGTTAGCTGCTGGAATGCACTGGGTCGCATACTGTAAGGCTCTCTGCTTTCTGGGGTGGAAGGGGGCTTGGTGGTGCATTCAAGTCAATGGCACTGCAGCCGCGCGCAGTCGCCTGCCCCAGAACCCATGGCACAGTAATGCCCGCGTTGTGGTCCAGCACGATCGCAGAAATTAGTGCATGTACTATTTTTTTGTGATCGCACGAGACCAGAACACAGTCCATAACACAGGGAGCCTTAGAGTATGCGATCCAGTGTGTTCCAGTAGCTGGAACACACTGGATCCGTGCTGGAACACACTGGAATTGGTGTGAACCGGCCCTAAAACAACAGGATATCAGGGCCAGTGCTCAGGGGACCTGTTCAATCTTCAGGGAGCTAAAACTTCCAGGGCTTGTTCACACCATGTTCAGACCAGATCTGAACCAGAAACGTTTTTGTCCTCACCTTAAATGCATCCCTATGGTATTTCTGGGCTCTGTTGACACCCGTACTGTCCATTCCGGGTAAGGGAATGCTGCATGCACTATTTTTTCTGGTCTGGAACGCACCAAAACGCATGTAAACTCATCAAATATTTTAAGTTAAAAAATGCACCAAAACTCATAAGAATAAAGGAATAATGTCACCAGCACACCAGTTTTTGTTAGTCAATGATCCATTTTAATGGCACATTGCCATCCAATACACAAGCGCTTTCGGGGCCGCAGGGGGTCCCCTTCATCAGGCTCAGAATGACGGGGTTACTCTGGTTAGGAGTGCAGCAAGACATCCTGTTTTTAAAACTCATAAGAAAACACATACAAAACGCACTGCACTATGTTTGCAGATCTGCTCCAGATCTGGTCCGGACATGATGTGAACAAGCCCTCAAACATCAAGGAGCAGCATAGATTGTAAGCGATTTATCCCTTTGAGGGTTTACAGCTGTATTTCAGTGGATGAGGCGCTATAATCATACAGGAAAATATTATATTGGGCAAAAAATGATAAAATATTGAATTTGCATGTACTGTACATTTGGATGTGAGCAACCAAAATTATTGTATTACAGTCCATTCAATTACAAATGCTAATAAACACCTTAAAGAACAATTCGCTAATCCAAAAACAGACACTGCGAGAATTGTTTTAAAATCAGTTTACTATTGTAAACCAAAATCTGATGAAATCATACCGTATAAGCTGCTGGCTGCAGTCCTATGTGCAGCTCTTTTTTTCACTGAACTCAGGAGATCTCCACAAAGATGTTACTTTTAAGGTCATGCTTTCCCTCGAGCTTCAGAAAACTGAGCAGAGCTACAAACATACTTCAGTTTTTTTATGTGTAATGTTACCCGACATCAAAAGAGAAGTGAGTAAATAGCCAAATGTACGGAGACATATTGCTTAGCACAGTGGATATAAAGGAGAATGCATGTTCCAGAAAGTGTTCCCTATGTTTAGGCTACATGTTTAACTTGGGGCTTCATTTAATAAGGCAAAGAAAAGATGGCATGAACCCTTGACAACAAATATGGAGCTTTTCATCTACAACTCTGACAAGGGCCAAATTGTGATGGCTGGACAACTGGGTCAGAGCAACTCCAAAACTGCAGCTCTTGTGGGATGTTCCCAGTCCACAGTAATCAGGCCTTATCAAAAGTGGTCCTAGAAAGGAAAACCAGTGAACCAGCAACAGGGTCATGGGCCGCCAAGACTCATTGATGCACATGGGTAGTGTAGGCTGGCCCACGTAGTCCAATCCAATAGAGGAGCTACCGTAGCTCAAATTGCTGAATAAGTTAATGCTGGTTCTGATAGAAAGGTTCTTCAACACACAGTGCATCACGTTTTTTGCATATGGAGCTGCATATCCACAGACCAGTCAGGGTGTCAATGTTGACCCCTGTTCACCGCCAAAAGCACCTACAGTGGGCACATGATCATCAGAACTGGACCACAGAGCAATGGAAGAAGGTGGCCTGGTCTGATGAATCATGTTTTCTTTTACATCATGTGGATGGCCAGGTGCATGTGCGTCACTGAAGTGGGGAAGAGATGGCACCAAGATCCACTATGGGAAGAAGGAAAGCCAGCAGAGGCAGTGTGTTTAATGGTCGGGTCTTTTCTGCCCGTGCGTGCCCACTAGGGGGCGCGCGAGCAGAAAAAAATTGCCGTCTGGAGACGGCAACCTGCAAATGCAGCAGTGCCGTCCATCCGTTTTTTACTACGGGCGGACGGCAAGAGGTTAAACAATGTTCCTACTTAATAATGTTCCTCTTTTCATCTCAGAAATTAGGCTATAGGTGTGTAAATAGCACAGAGGCAGCATAGAGGAATATTTGACCCATTACAAGTATTCACACAGATCAGTAGTCTGTTTGGGCAGTGTTTTGCTGGGAAACCTTCGGTCCTGCCATTCATGTGGATATTTCTTTGACACGTAATACCTACCTAAACATTGTTGCTGACCCCCCTTCATGGGAATGGTATTCCCTGTTGGCAGTGGCCTCTTTCAGCACGATAATGGACCCTGCCACACTGCAAATGATTAAAGAATGGTTTAAGGAACACAACAACGAGCTTGGGATGTGCTTGAAAAATATGTGCAATCAATGGAGGCTCCACCTTGCAACCTACAGAACTTAAAGGATCTGCTACTGATGGCTTGGTACCAGATACTACAGCATGCCTTCAAAGTTCTAGTGGGGTCCATACCTCTACAGGTCAGGGCTCTTTTGTTAGCATATGGGGGATCTAATCAATATTAGGCGGGTGGTCATAAAGTTATGGCTAATCGGTGTAAATACATTTCTTTAATTACCAAAACTCTTTTTATCTATTGTGCTTGGCTTTATATACCCTGTACATTATTGATTGTTTTTGGCGCACCAGTTAAGGGGAAATATTAATACTGACCTTTATAAATCACATAGTTACCTGTTTTAATGTTGTCGCATGATGAGATTCTACATACTGCAGTTTTTTTCTTTGATGGTTACGTTATTTTTTAAGTGTTATTGACCATTGTAGATGTCTGCAGAAGCCAAGTAATTTTGTTTGTTACGTATGTATGACCAATAGTTTACTGAAATGATTGGGTATCACCAAGAGTATGGTAAGGGTAAATATTTTGCTTAACCAGTTGACATCCGCGGTGTTAAACACCCTTCCCATCCAGGCCATTTTTCAGTATTCAGCGCTGCGGTACTTTGACTGACATTTATTCCGTCATGCTACATATAGGCGATCGGCGGGCTATGGACCCGCTGATCGCCTATATGTGAAACACCCGGTAACGGGTGTGTTTAATGGTCGGGTCTTTTCTGCCCGTGCGTGCCCGCTAGGGGGCGCGCGCGAGCAGAAAAAAATTGCCGTCTGGAGACGGCAACCCGCAAATGCAGCAGTGCCGTCCATCCGTTTTTTACTACGGGCGGACGGCAAGAGGTTAAACAATGTTCCTACTTAATGATGTTCCTCTTTTCATCTCAGAAATTAGGCTATAGGTGTGTAAATAGCACAGAGGCAGCATAGAGGAATACCCCATTACAAGTATTCACACAGATCAGTAGGCAGTTAGGTAATAATTATCTAATATTTGAGAGTACTTTTAAGCTTGCCCCAAGTCAATGTACACATAGTTGTCAGGGCCTTTGACACATGCAGACTGCTGAGCATCCCCTGAGGCCTGGTGATGAAGATGTATAAAGTAATTCATTGTAAAATAAAACCTGAGCTGCATTTTCATCCCACAGTAGAGAGCGATATTGCGCTGACTAACACCAAAACTTAAAAATTTGAACATCAAGTGTATATTTGTAGGAAAAGATGGAATACACAAGATAGTCAATAGTGAGATTCATTTTCTTGTGTTTTCTTCCGTAGCATCCTCTCAGTACATGGTAAAACATGGTCTGGGGTTATTGTTGCACACATTGCTGCATGCCAAATGTCACTGTTTGGTTCACTTTAGGACATTTGTACATGCTAGTTTATATGCAAAATTGTGTTACTGCTATGACTTTTTAACATAGTATCATTTCTGTTTTTTTCCCCCTAGGTGCTGCAAGATCAAGTCCAATTGCAAAACCAGGTTCCACGTCATCTCGTCCGTCATCTGCAAAAAAAGCAGCTCCGAGTTCTTCAGGAAAAAGTGACAAAGATTTGGAATCACAAGTTGTACATCTTAATGAACAGGTAATACAGTCTCTATATTCGGAACTAGAAGAGCTAAATGCCGATCATCACCTGATTGAGCTCAATGTGAGACCAACATCCATTCAGATTACAGACTATAAAGCCCTGCATGTATGTGAGTAAGGTCCTCAGATGAGGGCTTCTTAAACTTTTTGCTGTATCATGATAAACTCCAGGCCATACACAGTAGCACTGTGTTGAACAGATCTGTCTAAACACAGCACTTGTCAAATCTAGACTATATACCTAATGGGTTATTCACTATTGAGCGGAAGGATACAGCCTTAGCTTTGGCCGCCGAAGCCCTTTGGTTCAGTCGAACTGAAGGGCTGCTGTACGGGTTATTCACAATAGCCCGTACAGTGGCGGAGCGGCTCAGCCCAGCTGAAAGCATATGCTGTGGGGGAAACTCGAGTACTGTTTTAAAGTATATCTTAAACACATTTGTTTCATTTTAAATAGAGTAGGCAAGGGTTAAAACCTTTGTCAGTTATTTTTGTTCCACCTTTGTCCCAATGGGGAGATTTCCCTTCACTTGCTGCCCTGTAGATACAATTGGAAGGAAGAGTACATCTTTCCAGAGTTAGGGAATTGCCCGCTTATGCAGTTGTCACCAGAACCCATTGGAAGATGTCCCCTTTATCTTCTGGTGACAATTTAAAAATTTGGATTTTCCCTCACCTTCAATTCTGGTGACAGTGGTTGCAAGAAGAGAAAATCAGTCCCACAATGAGGAAACAGGTGGGGACTCCATCTAAATCTAAAAAAAAACAAGTTTTGGCTTTAAGCTGAGTAATTTCCGTCTGTTTGGAACTGCGGCATTGATACACCAAGACTGTTTAAAGTAGTAAAAAAGCCAGAACCTGAATAGGTAATACCCATTTAAAATAAAAAGGTTATAGTTACCTATAGTCTTCATAGATAATTTCTTTGTTAGGAGCACATAAAAGATCTCAGCTGATGCCTACAAAAATATATGTGCGTCTTTAATGACCATTGATATCTTCTAGACTGCAAAGCTGCCTCCCCAACCTGATGAAATCACAGGTTGTAGATGGTGGCCATTTAATGTTTATGGGTAAATCTAACCATTCATGCTTTAATAATATTAAAACTGGAAAATCTCAGGAATCCACATCCAAGTCTGTTCAAACCCTGATCTCTTCTATCCAACATAAAGCCATTTTAATATATTTGTATATATAATTTTTTGTTATGTATGCTAATTGAAACATGTTTTTACCCACTTTTTACTTTAGGTGCATTCATTAAAGCTTGCTCTTGAAGGAGTGGAGAAGGAGCGAGATTTCTACTTTGGAAAGCTGAGGGAAATTGAACTTCTTTGCCAAGAACATGGACAAGAGGGTGATGACCTTGTCCAGAGGTTAATGGATGTCCTGTACTCTACAGATGATCACGTAGGTGTATGCTTATAAAAACACATTGCCATCATGCCCAGCCTATATCCTTTCCTCCAAAAAAAGCAGGTTCGCGGGGCAGCACACATCACCAGATGCCTCCTAAGCAGTGATTACCGGTACTTACTGTTATCCCCTAAACTATGAGTGTGTGGGGCTACTGCAGGACTATATAAATCGATCATTGCCCAAGGAGAGACCTGCAGTAATCGTCAAGCTTTATTTGCAGTGTTGAAACATACAAGGCATTTAGTGTATTTAATGGCAAGAGTGGGGCTCCGTTTACTTTGAATAAACAATTTTCACAGCTTTAAGAACACTGCAGAAACAATAGTACATAATTTTAGGGATGCACTGATAACGCCAAAAGTGCCATTTTGGTGCCGATACATCGGCGCATCTGTTCTTTCTCTCCTCCCCGGTGGGCGCTGCTCTGTGTCCCAGTGGAGAGGAGAGAAAGTGACAGCCGGACTAGTGCTGCAGGAGGAGAGGGCTGTGAGCGTCCGGCGTCTCTCCTCCCTCACCGCTCAGCCTCCTATCACAGTCCGGCAGAGCAGTGGGTGGGCGGAGACAGGCCGCACTGTCACAGGAGGCTGAGCTCTCCTCCCACACCGCTCGCTCAGCCTCCTGTGACAGCGTGTCAGAGAGGAGAGCAATATACAGACACTCTGTGATCACTGAGTGTTTGTAGATAATTGAGGACATGGTATGTGTACTATATCCTCAACTATGAATGGATGGGAAGTGATCTGCATCACCTCCTGTTCATTTATAGTTGTAGTTATAGTAAACATACCATGTTCTCAAGTTATCAATGAACAGGAACACTCCTAGAGAATTCCTGTTCATTGATAACGGCCTGCAGAAAAAGAGATTGAGTACTCTGTGTCCTCAATCTCTTTTTCTATTTTAAAAGGGAAATATCAGGGCTCTGTTTAGACCCCCAATATTTGCCTGAAGTCCCTAAAAGTAATGTAAAAAATAAAAATATTTAATAAGAAATGAATTAATAAATAAATATAAAAGTTTATAAAAAAAATAAATACAAATAAAATATTAAAATGTATTATTTAATTTAATTTTTAGTTTAATTTAATTTTTAGTTAATTTTTTGTTTCGGCCTGACAATTTTTTTTATTTCGGTTTCGTTTCGGTTTAAAAATTTCCATTTCGGTGCACCTCTAGTAATTTTAGTACATTTGCCTTTGAGCACCATGATCCTGGCTTCACTACCTGGTGAATCACTGGAATAAGTAAGTGGGACAGAAGAACAGACCTTTCAGACATCATTAGCAACATAATTGCTCAGGGCAGGGGCCTACTAGGTAGTGATGTTTTCATGCAGCAAAACCCATGCATTGTAAGTTGAACGCCTGTTATTTGCTAAAAGGCCGATTCACATCAATGCAATGCAGTTTAGTGTGAAAGGGAAAGGTATATGGGCCCGGTCACACCTACACATGTGCATTACCTAGCGTGCTGAATTCACCAGAGCACTGTAAATCCAGCCGGGGGGGGGGGGAATCTGCAGTGGCGAATCCCTTACTTCTTTCTCATGGGTTTGCTTTAATGGCAGGACTAGCTGCCACTTGAACAAACTATTAGTGGCTACAGCAGGCTCTCTGCGTTGCTTGAAGCTTGCTAACTGCTTGTGTAGGCCTAATTCAGAGGCATATCTACTAGAAATTGCACCCCTGGCGTCCTGCCCAGTTGGGCAGGATGCTGTCCAGAGCATCCCATCGTGGTAAGAGCCGGGTGGGGAGATGTGTAAGGGCCACAGAGCAGCATTCCCCTCCCCCCTTTCCTTCAAATGGTGCCCAGGGCATGTTCCATACCCTAAATACACCACTCACCTCCTTAGCTTGTTTAAAGCAACAACCAACTCTGATCTGTGTTAGAACCCCAAGATTGGAGCTGGAACAAATCTGTTCAAAGCTTTCGGATATTTCTGCAGATGCTGAACAGTTATAAGCTGACGTCTGTGAGAACCCTGCCTAAGAAATGTTCATATGATCTTTCAGAGGAATAATTCAGAATGAGAGCCTTTCTTGTATACAGAAATGATTAAAAGAGAGAATAAAACTAGATATTCCCTGCTGACTGTGGTTGGAATGTGAATTCCATCTCTTGGCCAGATCCTCGCCATTATTATTATAATATTGCTGCTGGAAGACAATCATCTGCTGAAGGGCAGATTAGTCACTTCAGCTACAAATTCCTCCCACTTCTGAAAATGAAAACCTCTGTGCTTGGCTGTCATGACTGGCAACTGTACAGGAGTCCAAGTCGCAGTGTCACAGTAAACTAGTATGCAAGGGGTTTGCTTGCTTTTAGGTTACAATGCCAAGAAAATGGCTAAATACACAATGATTTCCTGGCCCTTGCCACATTTTAAATGTATATCTGTATACTTAGAAATGCTCCCTGTCGGCAGCATACTTTTTTGTGTGGGTATCAACCTACTGATGAGGTCTTTGCGGTACCCTTTTCTCTCTCCTGTAAACTTAAAAGTGAAGTAAAGATAAACCTCGAGTGCCAACATGTTAGAATGACACTGTTATACACTGCGAAAAAAAAGCCCTACTGTTCCAGTACTGACATTCCCATTCTCAGTTGGATACAAACTGTGCATTAGACTTATACAAGCAATATAATAACATATCAGCCATATAGGTTTTATTTGAATGTTAGAAAACTTATAATTTTACCCACCAATTTGTTGTGGTAAACCTGAACCTACATACAAGCTGTAATATATACTTATGGTTGTCTATGTATTCCAATACAACCTAGACACTATCAGGGTTATTCACTAAAGGGTGACGAGTTTGGAGAAGGCAGGAGAAGTGACCAATCTAGGAGAAAATAGCCGATTTAGAAAAATTCTCCAATTCAGCTCACTTTCCAGATCAGCTATGTTGTCCTAGATTGTTCACTTCTCCCGCCTTCTCCCGCCTTCTCCAAACCCTTCACCCTCTTGTGAATAACCCTGATCGTTTGCAATAACAAATATAAATCACTCGTACTGCAGTAACTTATTACTCGCCCTAAACAGACAGAAGAATCTCAAGGCGGTCAAATACTGTTATCACATATTTACCGAAAGAAAACAGACTATACATTAAGGTTTACTACAAGGACTGAGTAATGAAAGGTAGTACAGTATAGTCCAGAATGTTAGTGTGGAAGCACACAACACAGCAAGATGTAACAATATGGGGATATTACAGGGTCACCACAAACCTAAGGCAGTAGGTAATTGGATTCTACTTCTTGATCATCCTCTGCACTGTTACACCAGGTCTAATCATGTTAAGCCTTCAGTCAGCTATGAATTTGCTCCAACATTTCAACATCTTCAGGTTGGCTGAGAAAAGTTTTTGTGTGTTAGAGATTATTTATATTGATTCTATGTATTCTTATATAGAACAGATTCTGCACTTAGATTTTTCTGTATAAAAGATTTGGTTTTAGCTTCTAGAGTCTAGAGGTTTCTATCTCTTCTAGAGGCTTCTATGAAAGCATTATTACTGCTAGCAGTGTTCTTACATAGCACTTAAAAAGCACCTAATGCTCTACTAAGACCAAAGCTTTGCAAATAAATCTTTCACCTAGAGTGTACGATGGAATATGCTGTCGATGGATGCGAGTGTCTTCGCTGTGCATGTTAGTATGAGATCATAGCAGCATAATTTGCATTGCCTGTATTGTCAGTTATAGTCAATGCAAAGTGCAAGGGTTTCTGTAATTTTAGCCAGCAAAAGCTGAATACATATTATTATGACATTATGTGACCCTAATGAATGTTCAGTACGGACATTTTCTTTGTATTTCCATGAATTTGTTTGTGGTTTGTACTGAAAATGTCATAGATTGCACACATCAAGTGCTATTCATTAGTTATGTATAATGTCTTGTGCACATTACCCAATATATATACAACCTGAGAATATCAGACTGACAATGTTACATCTATGCAGAGCTACTGTACATTAAAACAGTCTGAGTTCTGCTACCGATCAGTCACAAAGCATTATTACCTTTGTGAGAGGCGTTCTTTAGATGCTGTTATTCTCTGACTCTCAGACTGTATGATAATTTCCAGACAGTGAATCCAAACCTATTTCAATTGTTTAGAGGCAAAACCTAAATGAATCCAGCACCGGAAATAATTAGACCATACCAAATTATTATATAACATGGGTAGGCAACCTTGGAACTCCAGCTGTGGTGCAAATACAGGTGAAACTCGAATAATTAGAATATCGTGCAAAGTTCATTTATTTCACTAATGCAACTTAAAAGGTGAAACTAATATATGAGATAGACTCATTACATGCAAAGCAAGATAATTCAAGCCGTGATTTGTCATCATTGTGATGATTATGGCTTACAGCTCATGAAAACCCCAAGAACCCCAAATCCACAACCTCAAAAAAGTAGATTATTACATGCAATCAATAAAACAAGGATTGTACATAGAACATTATCGGACCTCTGAAAAGTACAAGCATGCATATGTACTCAGTACTTGGTTTGGGCCCCTTTTACAGCACTTACTGCAATGACTTTTGCACGATATTCTAATTATTCGAGTTTCACCTGTATATATCTCATTATGCCTCTGCGAGTGATGTCTGTGGCTGTTAGTTCTTGACGTTCCCTAAAAGCTGGAGTGCTGGGGCTGCCTACCCCTCGTATACAGCTTTGTTTACAAACTGCATTACCTCCTCTGGCCACTAGATGGGGATGTATGTCTAGATTTGGTTTCTTCGTACACTGCAGCAATTTGTTTATGATACAATATGGGAGGTAAATTAAAATGAATAGGAAATATAGTTTACACACACGTTCACAGAACCACATATTAAGAACCTATTGAAATTAGGCGATTTCTCAGTGGTCCTTACAAGCCAAATGCCCTTTCATAAAAACAATGCCAGTATGCCGGTATAATCCTGGAATGTAGAAGGAAGGTGGAGTACTGAATAACACACATGCAAACTACATGCAAATAGTGCAGAATATAAACACATGTCCAATCATAGTAATGAAGCTACAGCGCTGCAGGTTATACACGGCTTGATAAAAGCAACTAGTTTAAGAATTGTGACTGTCAGTCTAAGAAGAGATGTGGTAATGAGCGCCTGTGATCATAGGAAACATTCATTATTACACAAAGAGATTTCCTAAATCTCTTCACAACCGTTATCTGAGAGTTCCCTTTCCGATAGAGAAAAGGAAAGTACTCGTGCTGTATTTAGGTGAGGGTAAATAGACATTAAAGTGGCCACACAGAAGACAGTCCTTTGATTGAACGGTAGCACACCTTGTCATCAACATTTTCAAGATGCAATCAAAATATTAAAGAAAATGTCCAGGAAAAACATTTTTCTTAACCCTTGCAGAGGGACTACCCAAGCATTGCAAGGGTTAAAATGTTTTCCTGGAGATTTTCTTTAATATTTTGATTGCATCTTGAAAATGTTGATGCACTGCACCGATATTAGTATCGGTGCCGATGCCGAGTATTTGGGCGAGTACTCGAGTCATTACACGCTGCCCGGCTTCCTGATTGGCCGGGAAGCCGCCTCCATGCTCCCTTGTCACTGATTGGTTGGGAAGCTGGCCAATCAGGAAGCCGGGTGCTGCATCGTTACACGGCGCCCAGCTTCCTGAATGGCCAGAAAGCCGGCTCTATGTTCTCTCGTCATCCAGTGATAAGAAGCATGGAGACGGCTTCCCTGCTAATATTCCCCATTCTTGGATGTTTCTGTACACTCCCAGAATAGAGGATCATTCTGTTTGAATTTGGTGGACCAGTGTCCAGCCTATGGTTGTGGATTATCCATTGTCCAGAACAGTGAGACTACAATTGTAGTATTGCATCCAGTGAAGTACTGAACTGGAAGAACATAATGTTTCTGTTTAATTACAGGAAGGCCACACAGACCAACATGAAGGTGATGAACATGACCACGTTCAGGAGGATCCACAGCAGCAAGACGAATACTGACCACCGATCCTTTCATCCCCCTCACTGTTGTCATTTCACGTGGGACTTTCTTTCAGGAGAGCAATGTGTGGCCAGTCACAATCGGCACACCTGTACCATGTAATGTACTATAGTGAGTGCCAGCCAACCACTGCATTCTGTACCAGTTACTTCCCCAAGACGTGTTTACAGAGCTTGTATTCCGGCCCAAGCTAAAAGGAAAGGGCAGGGGGCTACTCGGCAGCAGCTTGTCACACTTGACTGTTTCAGATTGTTTTCAGATCTTTTCCCTTATTTTTTTATTTATTTGTAAGTGAGCTATCTCCTTGTTTTCCAACTGCTTGCTTCTAATTGTAATATCGTAGAATATTTATATAATCATGTCATGATTAAGAAGTGTCACTACCACGTATCACGAATGTAAACGTGCAAAGTCATAAAACAAATGTTTCACAAGTCCCAAACCAAACAAAGCTGATGAGTAAAGCGAGGAGAGAGAGGAGAAATAGAAAGCAGATGGAATGTTTCTTTGTTGTTAGTTTTTCCCTTCATTGGACTAAAATGCAGTCATGAGATAAAGGTCATGTCATCAGTGAAGATGCAGTTCTGTGTGCCACCAATATATGCTGTATATTATATTAACGTTTACTTGTCTCCCTGTCACCATACACTGCAGGAGGACTGGAGCCATATTATAAAGACTTAGAAGGGTGAAGAGAAATGTTTGCTCAAAGCAACCAATTAGGTTACACCTCTGCACTAGAAATTTTACAGTTGGAATCTGGCTGGTTGCTATGGGCAACACCCAGATTTCTTTCTTGCTCTGCGGATTAGCTCGGCTGACTCTTGCAAGGGAAAGTGTTTGCTTTCTAGGTCTTCCATACTTTGAGGATTGTTCTATCCTATGCAGGAAATACCTTGAGTTTGAGAAGTGCATACGATATTACATTCCTAAACATGACGCTCACCAGAACATAAAGCTTTTTTTGTTTCTTATTTTACTTTTTTTGGATAAAATGCATATTATATTAATATTTTTGTAAGTGTTTATTGCTTTTCTATTTTGTTATTGTTGAATTAGCAAGTTGCCAACTGCAGTTCACACAATAGTTGAGTTTTTATCTAGGGAAGTGTTACTATTGGGTCACGTTGAATGGTCATCTCACAGAGATCTGTGTGCTTATTATGGACATTTGGTATCTATCTTGGCTACAAAGCAACATTATTCGCTGTTTTATGAGATCTATCCAGCACCAGCCTTTTTCTCAGTATCATTGTTGAGATGAGACCAGCTTGATCACATAGTAAGACCCATCACTGTTTTATTCTTTTTACTGCCAGGGTCCCTCCAAATAACGGTAACAACAGCACAGCACTATAATAACAGAAGATAGACAGTTACACTAAAAGAAACAAATACACTTCTACCAGGACGGTTTCAGTTTCCTCTTCCTCATCTTCCCAAACGTTCACGGCAGTAACACAAATATTATATCAGTGGCAATATCATATGATGCTTACAAAGCAATAGTAATGCACTGTAGTTATCTGAATGCAGTATTAATGAGCTGCAATCCACAATATCACCAATAACAATGTATTCTTTCCCATTCATATACTACCTCTAATAACAAATGGCGTATCAAAGGGATAGAAGACTACACAAGCAGCTTTAAAGTGCATTGTTCTCTTCACGCAGCCTAGGAAGACATTTTTGAAGCCTTTTTTAATAACAGGTCGCAAAGAGTGGTACGCAGTAAATTAAGGTCACTAGTCACAGATCAGCGTTCATTGTTAAAGCCTGGTATGGGACTTCTTGTCATAGGTTACCACCAAGCAGTTCCCTAAACTGTTATTAAAAAATCTGTTTTGTTGGCTGAACAAAATTGCTTGGCTGGGGCAAACCATTTCAAGAGCTAAACCACTTTTACTAAAGATACAGCCTGTGGTATCATAAAAAAACACTGACAATACTTAGAGACTTCATGGAAACCACTTTGTGAGCTACAGTGTGGACACATATAGAACCGATAATGGTCACAAACACTCTGCTCCTAAATGGCTGCCCCAAGGGGTTGTAGGTGGCAATTGGTAACACCATATGGATGCCAATATTGTAAACCAGCCTTAAGGAAGCTGGTCAATTGGTATAGACATTTTTAAAGTAAGTGTGACAGTCTTCTTTGGATTGTACTGCTGTATATTTCATGGCTAAGTTTTTCTCATTATTTCAGTATTTTGTTTCTTTTCTCTTTTAATGAGTAGCACATCATACAAAAAAAAAAAAGAAGTTCTATATGAAATGTAAACTGTAAGGAATGTAAACATATGTATTGTTAAATATAAATAGACAGGTAATGAAGTCCTGATTAGATGGAAAGAGTCTTATTTGGATGTATCACACTCATTTTACCATCCACACAACTTGTCGCATGATAGAGTAGGTTTTTTTGTCTATGAATATGTGAATAACTTGCGTTTTATCTTTTTACATATTTAATAAAAAAAGTATATGTTATAAAAAAATGCCAATTTTACCAACTATTCAACTTGGGTGCAAATTGTAACTTGTTTGTCTGTTATTAGAACCTCCGGATTCATTTTAAGATGCATTTTGTCTAATAAAATGAGTTAAATTATGAAGGAAGAAGAACGGCTTGATAACGGGGCTTCAGTCTAAGTAATCATATGACTAATAAAACACAACCCAATTATGAACATAGAGATTGGCTTTCTTGGAGAAATGTAATGCTTGGAGTATGATGTATGAATTCTGAACACATTTTTAAAAGCAATGCAGAACTTTGGATAATATTCTTAAGTCAATAACTGACTCCTGGTTAAACTACAGTAGGCCTATGTAGCACGTCTTCTCCAAGGAGTATGAAGCTGGTAAGTTCCCAGGATGCAGCAGCTGTGGTATCCTAGTAGAAAAAAGTTCTCTCATTATTCATGGTCATCCATAGTCTTTTAATGACCGTCCAACATCTCCTATGGAAGGTTCCAGTTTTCCAATAGAACTTGTGCATTGTGGAGACATCTTTATGGTGACATAATCCATGCTTAAGCTGCCATCATATCACATGCAGGCCTGATAGTATGATCCACACTTCAGTCTAATGTCTTGTCCATGTGATTTTCAACTACAAAGTCTGAAATGTGCCACCAGACAGCTCTGTGTCTATGGTTCCTAAGCTGCTTGATATTTTCCAATGTAAAACCGAATCCCATTGAATGGGAGCTGCTTAGTGGCTTATTACAAACATCTGATCAAACAGGATACACACAGTGAGGCCCTTACTGCTCATCCCAGGGGTAAGGGAAATGGTTCAGTCATTAGTTTCATTTAAAACCTCTGGGATTAATGTTACAATTATCCAACATAATTGTAATATGAATACATAGATGCTACATATCTTGGAGTGGATTGGATTTATACGGCATGCTTTTCATTTAAAAGTATATCAAAATCCTATGTCAGCCATTTTGTAATTACGTTTTATCTTTCCTTTTCCATCTGCACCAATTCTTATTTTTGAAAACTGCCAGAAATTCACAGAAATGTCTCCTTGCTACCATGACAACATTTAATGGTCTAGATTCAATAGCGGAACTCAAAGGTTTTGTGACACAGTTCTGGGATTATGGCTAAGGTGCATTATAGGCACCACTGAAACTCCTGGCATGCGTTTCTGACTCTATGGAGCCGTGGTCCCAAAATAAAGCACTTTACTTTCAATATATTTGTCATTTTATATACAGTAATCAGCATTCAACAAACAAAGGTGAACAATAGATACCGTAGGTCTTTACAGTGACTTGTGATCAAAGGTAATGGTTGCAAAACATTGAAGCACTATAAATTGGTGGCTGCGATCCAGCTCTAGGTCTGCTCCCAAGGGTGAACTTACAGGTAAATACGTACTTTTCATGTCGCTGAATTTCAGTTGTTGTAGGATGATCTGTAGTCAGTGCACATTTAACATAAACTCCAGCAGACAGCAAGGAGTGGGGTAACCACATGTGGTGGCTTGTTAGGATACAGTATTTAATAGAAAATATAAAAAGTCATTTTGTCATGAAAATAATTTTCTATAAAGAATCCTGAGATGCAAATAGAAAAGTGACACACAGTCTACTTTGCATGATCACAGAAACTATTGAATTGAGCAAGGTATTGTCTTCATGGTAAAATAGCTGCTGGATAAATTGCCTTTATCATTGAAAATACTCATTTTAAAAAGCCAAAAATGTATGCCCTGCTCTAACGTGACTCAAGAGTCTGCCATGTATCCATTTTAGAAAATGTACTGAACAAATCATTCCTTTATTCTTTAACCAATACAAAACATTAAATACATTTTTCATTCTTAAACCAAATGTCTTATAAGACTACAGGGCTTGTTTAATAAAACATTAGTGCAAAGAAAGTACAGTAATTCCATGTAGCCAATCAGCTTTGAGAAATGTAGTACAGTTAAACTGATTGGATAGGTCACTATGTCTTACTGCATATGATCTCATTACAAATATTGTGTAAACCATAACCAAACCTGCAATGTACATTGCTGTGTAAGCCCTGCATTGGTCCCTTGCAATGATTATCAAGTCTAGAGTCTGCCAGTGACAGACTCCTTTATGATTCCTCCCTTATGGTTCTTAGACTTTCAGGCTTCAAAGAACTTCTTCAAGGTACATGTATAAATGATGAAGTCTTTGGTCAGATGATTTCCCTAAAAGATAGATTGAAACAGTAAATATTTTACCAAAACCTAGACCGTGGGGAAATCGCAAAAGCACCCTTGTGCCTAAATATTAAAATCAGTAATCAACCGTCTCTGACCCAGTTTAAAGTGGCACTAAACTCAGGAGGTAAATCTTAAAAATACATTCAAGTACTTTAAAACTATTAATAATGTATCTTAAGTAGTCACCATTCCATGCTCGCTTCCGTGATGGATTACAATCTCAATACAAATGAGTAAACTAAATGTGAGATTGTAGACCATCACAGGAGCTTGGAGTGTTGACTACTTTACAACACACACAGGGACCATGGGGAACAAAAGTATCCACCCTCCAGAAGTTTTCATTTTCTTAATTTCAAAAGAAAGCTGACAAAGTACCTCCAGGATAAAGCCAATATTAATCAGAAAGGGCTTTACACTTTATCTGGAGGTTGAAAATCTTTTTGACAGTGATCAGAAAAAAATCAAGTGAAAGGCCCCCTCTTCCTGTGACATTTTAATATGCATTATGACCATTATTAACATGTCTTATGGTGTGTTTTTGTACTACATTGTAATATACAAGTCTTTTACTGTATTAAAAGTGAGCAACAAATGTATCACATCTGTGTATTGTATATAAAGTTAGAAGTCAAGGATATGCCCGACTTTTGTGGTTCCATCTCACCGAAGGTAATCAATATTAAGGCTATTCCAACAACCTTCATTTAACAGTGTCACATTATTATACAATACTTTTTTTATGTATTAGGGTTTCCTTACATTATTATTTATTTTTATGTAAGGAAACATTCAATATTTTCAAGTTAGTTAAATATTTAGAAAAAATGGAAATATTTGAACTGGTTTTAAGAAAACAATATGTTGATTGTTAAATAACTTATGAATAACCTGCTGTAAGTAATTCCCATACGTTTCTGCTGAATGCAGCTTCCGGCTTTAGTTTACATTTTACTATAGATAGATCAGGTCAGATCAGGATCATTTCAAAGCTGCGACATGACCTCTGGATGACACACACTACAGGTCATAGTGAGATGGTGAACATCAGGACATTTAGTTAAAGGGGAAGTTCTGAGTCCCTGCTCACACTTTGGCATTGCATGAACACGCACTAGTGTATGATTTGGCATTAAAAAACGTGCAGGGTGTTTGCGGTGCCATTACCTGTTAATGGCACCCTAAAGGCAGCTAGAAAAACGCACAATTTGTTTTCCCATGTGTGGATGCACAAAAACATGCAGGGAAACAATGCAGCACACTGACAGCTGAAAATGTTGCATGAGCTACGTTGCGGTGTTTGTGTGTACAGCCCATTGATTGAATAGGCTCAGGTACGGCGTTCACACTATGCAAAGACTGAACTGGGCCTCACAGTAGTCTCCTGTGATAAACATATAAGCGCTGCCATAACCAACTTGTTTTTAACAGTGCAAGCTCCTCTACTTAGTGAGTCATTGCCATAAAACGAACCCGACCTAAACTGATGATTCAAATTTAAACTTTACATTAATCAATAGGCACATGTCAGCTCTACTAAATATTACTATTTTGGGTAATAAATTCCTATTTGTTGCAATGAATAAAAAAAAGACTACTCCCGAGCTACGTCATGTAACCAGAAGCACATGGTCTCTGGCTGCTATGAGCATTGTGGGTGTTTCATAGCATTAGAGACTTTTTTTTCCACTGACTCTGTCCGGTAAGGTTGCACTAAGAGTGCAATGTAAGAGTATCGACAAGCAGCATCTAGGACGTAGAGGCTGCATGTGTAATGAGTAAATATGTTCTCTCCAATGTCTACATAACAACTACAAAATATATTTAGACAAGATTTTAAAAGTATTTTTAGATGGCACCTGCTTGATACAATTATTTATATTAAGCTTTTCAATTCCAATTGTAGCTCTCAAAAAAAAATAACTGTGTGATCTTTAACCACCGGCTGTTGTAATTAAACGGCTGGACAGCGGCTTCTTGAATGGGGGTGGGCGTTTTTAAACGTCCCATCCCGCCCCGCTTGTGCCCACCGCTTGGCGGCAGGCACAAGCGGAAAATCAGCCTGCAATGTAAACAGCCGGCGATGGCTGTTTGCATACAAGCGTTCGGGCGTCTGTAGAGACGCCCGATCGCTTGTAATGTGTGTGCGCCCACCCTCCGCCACAGCTCCTCCCTCCGCCGACCGCGAGCCTGGGACCAGCACAGCAGCTCTGTGGCCAGAGATCAAACGGAGATCAGTACACAAGCTCCGTCTGATCTCCTCTTCGGAATGCAGGAAGTGATGTTTATTACATCACTTCCTGCATTCAGTGTCACTCTCCGGTACAGAAACTGGAGAGAAGCAGGTGTTTGCTTCATCAGCTTCTCTGAGGGTCCCTTGGTGACATTAGGGGTCTTAAAGACCCCTGATGTCTCCATAAAGAGGACCTGTCACTGAAAATTAGCTATCACAAAGGAGGCTTGTTCGTCCCCTATGTGATAGCAATAAAGTTAAGTGCGTAAACGACGATTGCATCCATTACGCCGCACATGTTACGTATCGCCGTGAACGTCACAGTGAGAGCAATATTTCTCGGCCCATCAATCGCTGATGACACTAACCTGATGAGCGGTAAAAGCTTTTAAAACCTATGGCCAATTTTGGGTATGGTAGTTTTTGCAAGTTCGCAGAAGCACGCAATTTTAAAGCTTGGCATGTTTGGTGTCTATTTACCCAACGTGACCCCGCCTTTTATATTTTGCCAACAATTTGGGTAATAATAACTGTTTTATAACATAACGTAGGGAAAACAGTTTTTTTCCCCAAAATTTTCGGTACTTTTTTTATTATATAGTAAAAAATAAAAACCTCAGTGGTGATTAAATATCACCAAAATAAAAGCTCTATGTGTCCCCAAAAAATGGTATAAAATTCATTTCAGTACAGCGTTGCATGACGGAATAAATGTCAGTCAAAGTACCGCAGCGCTGAATACTGAAAAATGGCCTGGACAGGAAGGGGGTGTAAACATCCCGGTCAGCAAGTGGTTAATTGGCTGTAAAATTAGCCACACAAGTCGGTGATTCACTAAGTAGTAATGCAAAAGTAAGGAGGTCGTCCCTGCAGTCTGCACCTTAGAAAACATCAGCAATGGCAGTTCTCATCATTCCATTTAAGCGGGGAATGCTGAGCCGTGTTGGTAGGCCCTTGGTAATATTTTCAAGAATACAATGAGACTGTCCCTGGAAGCTAGAAGCAGCGTGTAATAAATGACCAGAACTATTTTTAGAAGAACGTCATACTCTCCACTGACCAAGGTTTAGTTACTTACACTCTGACAACTGTACAGCACACACTAGAGGTCTTCAGAATATAAAAATATACATATATATTTACATTGACTTGGTTACAGTGCTTCATATCTAGTACAATAGAATAACCTGTATGTAGAGTAACATGTCATTCACTTAGTCAGCATACCGCTTCTTTAGGGAGAAAACATAGATATGGAAGTGTTTGCTAAGCTGCTTTCCCTAAAAGAAAAACAAAAGAAAAAACACAATAAGAATCACAACTAACTGATGCACACAAAGACTTTATACACACACGCACACACGTGAAATCCCGCGATCGTACGAGAGTCGAGCAGTGTGAACGAAGACGTGCGACCGTTTCTACTGTACGGTCGCACGTCTTTTGTCGAACCAACATGCTCAAAAACCCGCCAAGAATCGTACGATTGTCGGCGGGTTTCTAGCCTGCTCGTCCGATAGCTGCGCAATGGGCCGGTGTGCGCACACTGCACGTCCTGCATTGCGGTCATCGGAATCCCGCCCCTCAGCGGGGCGGGCTTTCGATGATCGCAAGTACGATCTGCCTGTCCAAGATGGGCAGATCGTACGAGCTTTCAATAAGCATACGACCATCGCAAGACAAAAGTCTTGCGATGGTCGTAAGGTGTATGGGCACCTTAAGTTAACAACTACTGCTATGCACAGCTATGCCATCCGTCCCAATGAACATCTCACTGTAACTTTCCACCATGTTCTGTACATGTAATATTCTGTACCAATCTTTCCCCAGGCTCTGCGTCAGCCATAACCTTTTTGACCTTTCCATTTCATTTTTCTCTTGTAACATCAAATTTAGTTTGTTTGCAGTTGGTGAGCATTTAAAAGTTAGTACCATTACTAAAGCCCATTGGTTATCCTTTAGGGCCTTGGTTCTCAACTAGTGCGCCAAAAGTGGGTCACGACCCCGTGTTCAGTGGGACGCAGCGTGCCTTCCACGTTTCTAGGTGAGAGGCTCTCAGCCCCCCCTAGCGCAGCACCGTCCATTCTTACACCAAGCAGCCATTCAAAATATGCTACCAAGTGTCAACTTGAGGTGGGGTGGGGTGGGGGTATGGTTGCGAGGGAGCTCCATCCATACGTGCATCGCTTACAGCTCCCTCACGTGCCCTGTAGAAGTGCCCGGACCGGATTGTATGTGTGTGTGTGTGTGTGTGTGTGTGTGTGTGTGAGATTGTGTCTGTGGTTGTGTATCTATGTCAGTGTTTTTATGGGCCTGTTCACACTAGTACAGTGTGTTAATCGAACAGTACAGTGCAATTAACGCACTGTACCACGCAATTGCACCTACCGTGCTTTCTCGGGTGGGAGCTGTGTTGCGTTGCCGTTCATTTAAATGGTACCCCAAACGCACCTCCCACCCACAGTTTGTATGCCCGCATCAGAACGCACAGTACCCTAATGCCGTGCATTCCATTGTAGTGTGACTTGGGTCGCAACTTAATGATCAAGGACAAATGTGGGTCCAGAGGTTACACAGGTTGGGAACCACTGCTTTAGGGCTTAATATATTCACAGAGTGGGATTACTTGCATGATTCAGAATTTTTGCTTGGATATTGTAGCAATGCATCCAAGTAAAGGCAGCCCAACAACAGTTCTAACAAGTAATTGTGACTCCTTTAGGGTTAGGGTTAACCACTACAGAGACCATTATTAAGATATTAATCAAGAACCAGAGCGTTTTCAATACACATTTTTCGTGGTTCTTAAGAAAGAAAGGCTTTGGGCCAGATGCTTTAAATGACAATAATATGAGTAGAATTACCAGAGTTTTGTTTATGACTCAATGATACATTTATTAAAGTGTATGCAAACCAAAACCTTTTCTATAAATTGGGGAAGGAACCCCTCCCTGTCTGGTTTTCACTGCATTCCAAGGCTCAGTTAAGGTCCCCACACACCTTACGATAATCGTACGATAATTGTGGGAAATCCCGCGATCGTACGATTATCGTAAGGTGTGTGGAAGCCGTGCGACCTCTACTACTGTAAGGTCGCACGACTTTAAACTTACGGACATGTTCGAAAACCCGCCGAGCATCGTACGATGTTCGGCGGGTTTGTGGCATGTTCGTACGATAAAAGCCGTACGGGCCGGCGTGCGCAAGCGCACACTGCCCGTTCGGCATTGCGGTCATCGCAAGTACAATCTGCCTATGCAAGATAGGCAGATTGTACGTTTTTGTAAGTACCTTACAACCATCGCAAGACAAAAGTCTTGCGATGGTTGTAAGGTGTGTGCCCAGCCTTAGAGAGATTTCCCCTCATTTTCTGTCTCAGTGATAGCAGTTTTATTAGACAGGAAGAGAGGTAAAATCTGCAATCTGCAAGGACACAGACAGAAATACAAATCTGACTGGAGTTCTAGACTTCCTCTACTATACTTAAAGAAAGATTTTTTTTGTTTCTGTCTGTGTTGCTGTTGGGTGTTCTCCTCTCCAGAGGGGAAGTCCCACTAACAGAGCCCTGTATGGTTCCAACACCTAACATGGGTTCTAACCCTTACCCACTCTATCCAAAACTAAGAATAAGGTTTTGCTTTTTATCAGTTAAAAGAGGGACAAAAATGTCTTCCCCACTCCAGAGATACCAACTCAGCTTGCCAAGCATATGTGTTGCTGTATTCTAGAGAGGACTGGCCAGCGTTGGGCTCATTACTGTATCAATATCCACCTGCATGGCTGTCCACACTGGGCTGTTGAGACGAGCAGACATTGGACCCAGATAACTGTAGCTTTGAACTAATTTATACCTGGTTTATAACTACAACAATATAAATGGTGTTTTTTAGTTTTATGTCACAGTAAAAAATAAAACCAATACAATCTTAATGAATGTAAAAATCTCAAGGAAAAAAGAACACTCACCACACATACTCCATAATGTACATGTGCTATCGTAGCACCAGCTGTGACTGCAATCAAGGTCGGTTCTTCCATTGTCCCAAGATATCCAGAGACAGCCAGGCCAACCACAAGAGCCAGTGGCCAGAGAAGCCAGTGGAAACATTCTGACTTGGTGTTACTCATCTGGCATATGATAACCCTGCACTGTCAGATAAAGATACTGATGTTAGCTCTTAGAAGGTCTGTCAGAAGGCATTCTGACAGACAGGCCAACATATGGACCCTCTGCCAGATAGCCAGCATGGGGATCTTTTGCCAGCATGGGGATATTTTTTAAATGTGAAACACTATCAGGGTTATCCACCAAAGGGTGAAGAGTTTGGAGAAGGCAGGAGAAGTGAACAATCTAGAACAATATGGCTGATTTAGAAGAATTCTCCAATTCGGCTCACTTTCCAGTTCAGCTATGTTGTCCTAGATTGTTCCCTTCTCCTGCATTCTCCAAACCCTTCACCCTTTAGTGAATGACCCTGTTAGAGGTTCCTAAAAGAAAAATAATCTTTTAACATATTTCCTTTATTTATTTCAGTATAAAACTACAATTTTTTTTCTCTTAACCAGTAACCAGTAACAGCTGCAGTATGAACAAAGCCTAACACGGTCTGCCATAAAGCATATAGGCAAAGCCGTGCCCTCTTTTTAGAAAGCCCAGCATGCCTTGCAAAAAGAATGTCATGACTGTACTCATTAATAACAAATACATTAAGCCTATTGTATAAAAAAAAAAAGCACATCAAATTTTAAAATGAGTAAAACTGCTAAAAGTGCTAAAAAAAGTTATACTCACCAGACCATCCGAGCCAGCTCCCTGCTTCTGTCATCACTGAAGCGTGTCTCCTCCTCCGCTGTACAGATGGACTGCTTCTCGGTGTCCTCATGTGTATACACAGCCTATGCACAGTGTATGGAGTGTCATGACACCAGGATCCTTAGACTGCTGCCGCAGAGGGGAAGAGATGCTCAAGACACCGGTCTAAAGGTGCCCATACACCTTACAATTATCTGGAGATTTTTGTCTGCGATTGCGTTTTCATCCAAAAATCTGCCAGTTGATGGGGAGTGTACAACCTCAATTACTGTACAACTGGCAGATTTCTGTCTTTTAAGCATGCTAGAAAACTTTTGTCTAGTTGGATTAAAATTGACAGGTTAGTGGCGTTGTTGTACAACATAAATCTCAAGGTGAAAACTGCACATGCTCAAACCAAAATCTGTGCTTTTGATCGATGAAAATTGGCCTGTTAGCGGTGCTAACGAGCGTTAATTGTCAACTACATTGGTCTGTGCATGATGGGCTAGTTGTAAGAAAATTGAACAAGAGTGAGATGTCTGGACAACAAAGTTGTACAATGGTTGTAAGGTGTATGGCCACCTTAAGAACAAGCCGGCTCGGATGGTGTGGTGAGAAAGGTGGTGACCTGCTAAGTTGTCAGAACCTGTTTATAGCACTGCGTTTTATATATGCTAAATGTGTATAAGAACTTGTGCTGCCACATCCAGTGTCATTGTCATTATTTCTACTGTTTCAGTTACACTGCATATCTATAACATTGCATTTCATTGTGCTATGCTTTATTTCTAGCTACAAATGTAAGATTAGCATTGTTACAGCCTAATCTGTGCATACTTGGTATCTTCCACTTCACCCCTGCTGTTTTCTGTATATTGGTACAGTCTTCTGCTAAAACATTACAGCAATGCTTTGTAATCTCTCTTTCTACATCACCCTCTCTGAGGTAAGGGAGTCTCTGTTAACCAAAGATAGGAATGTCTTTTCACTCTAAAGGTGCCCATACACCTTACGACCATCACAATACTTTTGTCTTGCAATGGTTGTAAGCTTATTGAAAGCTCGTACCATCCGCCCATCTTGGACAGGCAGATCGTACTTGCGATCATCGAAAGCCCGCCCCGCCTGGGGGGCGGGCTTCCGATAACTGCAGTGAGGGGTGGGCTTCCGATCGATCACTGCAAACGGGCAGCGTGCGCATACCAGGCCGTTCGGTAGTTGTCGAACAAGCAGGCCACTAACCCGCCGAGAATCGTACGATTCTCGGCTGTTTTTCAAGCCTGCTTGTTCGACGGAAGACGTGCGACCGTACAGTAGAAACGATCGCACGCCTTCCATACACTGTACGATTATCGTACAGTGTATGGGCACCTTAAGAATGACAAAGAACCACATCCTCTGTATTGAGAAGGCAAATCGACTGCATTGAATTCTACTCTGAGTCGTCTTATCGAGTTGGACACTATCTGTGAATATCACCAAGTCAGTAGGTTGTCATACTGCCCGTACAGACAAGTCTCAGGAAAGTATGTGCAAATACATAAAGCAGTGGTTGTAACAGAATAGAACTAATTACCATTTACATTCTATGAAGCTCTTTACATCAGTTCATTGCGCTTTTTAAAATGCAGCTGTGTTTTGGTAAAAAAACGTACATTACATTATAGTCAATGGGAACATGGAAAATGCACTAATAATGCACTAAAGATCCACAAAAATTTACTTTTTCAAGTCACGTGTACATATTTCAAACAAACATAGACACAACACACAAAATGGAGACAGAAAGTGATAAAATTAAAAGAAAGAAACACACATAGCATGCATGCAAAACGGCCATTTTGCCTTGCGTTACATTTTAATTCCACGCAATAAATATGAGCTACAAATGTATAATGCACTTCGTGTGTTTTCTAAAGCGATGGTGTGAAGGACCCTAAAGTCAAACCAAATGAACCAAGGAGAGTCAATTTCTTGGTAATGCAATGTGGCAGAGGTATGTTAGTCGACAGACAGGCTGGTAGCAGCCAATAGCAGCTGGCTATGGGCCCCTTTGTAGAAATTATCTGAGTGGCTCACCAGCTACCTGATCACTTCTACATTACCATAAAGGTAACACATATTGGGTAACATGCCAGAGTGAGATAGATCCTTTATGGGCAACCATTTGTATGCTCAGCTCTAAATGGATGAGTTGTGAAGGTTTTTGAAGCATATCCTACCAATGATTATGGATATTGTCGTTTTTTTGCCATTTCACAGGCACATGTTGAGGTCTGAGGTCTGATACATTTGGTATCTATTTATTAAAATAGTCTCCTAAATTTATCAGGAAATGTAGAGATTATACTGTATTTTTCAATTAAAATTATTTGAAATGTAGTTGCGCATAAACTTGCAGTTACCATCACATTATTATAAAGTCCCCTGCATTCAGAAAATATTCATTGTTATAGGGGTTGAAGAATGTGTTTTATTCAAAAAATATATAAGCATGTCTAAAACATGATAAAGAAAAAATAGCAGGACAGACAAAGGATTAAAACAATATTTCTATTAGACGGGAGTTCCTCCTTAATACATACCGTTACATTGGAGAAAAGCACACCAACCATCCATAAGAACAGCCTTGGTTGTCTGTCCAGAATGTTACAGGGAGATAATAAAGCCCAGATTGTGAGCAAAACAAATAAAAGAGAAGGGGAGAACAATGGTAATAGCCCTTCATACAGCGAGTTGTTTAGTAGAGTCTTCTGTTGATAGCCCCTGAGTATAAAAGAGAAAGGTTTTATTGACCACTACAATGAAATTTAGTCATGTCAGTGTTTCTGAATACTTACTGTATTTCAAGCCATCCAATTTCCTAGGAGTTTTTTTTCCTAGGAGCTCTCATTCAATTTAAAGCTTAAACTACAACTGCACTTTCATCAAATAAGAGACATTTGTAGCTGACCCTCCAGTCTTTGAAAAAGTACCTTCATGATGTGTTATTATTACTGAAAATAAATCCTGCTTCCAGTACAATGGTTTAGCCTTGCTACTGGAAACAGAAATTCCGTGTAGCAAAAGGTAAAACATCATACTGGCATTTTGCCAGAGGCTGCTGGGAAACGTACAAATAAATATGTTTTTGATGAAATGCAGCTATACTTTCAATCATACCAACCTACCAGTATTGCATTCAACTCAAACATTCAATATTCTTGTCACACCACTAAAGCACTGACATAGAACTTGAGTCTGAGGATGGACAAAGAGAAGTTTAGACTGCCCTGTCCAACTGTTTACCCTTATGACTACTCCCTAAGGCCCGATTCAGAAGGGTGGTCCGATTTGCAGTTTTTTAATCCTATAATGGGCTATTCTTTGTATCTTATGTTTGACCGGAATTCTGCTTTGAGCAATTTATTAGGCACCTGTTGGGATTACCACTATAGTCTTAAACTCACCACACACATTAGAATCCAACTGTAAAATCTCCTTTCAATCTACCAAAAGCTACTGTATGTACTGCAAGGTCCTGTCTGATTGGATACAAATTAAATGTTTCATTTAGGTGGGTCCTCGTATTAGATATTTTTGGTAAATCTACAGGAAATTGTACAAAGGTTGTACAGTCAGATTGTAACATATGGTGAGCTTTGAGTGATCATTATGTTGTTGTTTTTTTGTAACTTATTGAGCTTACAAGTGTCAAGTGGGCATCAACTTTTGTGATGTAACATATTGCAAACAACTTGTTGGTGAGTAACTTACCTAGTTATGGATGTTAGAAGAGTTTACTCTATATTATCTTGACCTGAACAGTTTTCATAGAGGACTACATACAAATCGATACGCCTATCTATTAAAAAAATACCACCATAGAACAACATGGAATATCAGGAAGGTTTGTACTATTAGAGCAATTTGGACCACATTTATTGTGGGGTTTTTCTTTTACCTTCCTCTAAGTTAGCTGTTGGTGTAGGGTTCTGAAGAATGTGTGTTCATTTTATTTATATTTTTTGTTTTGTTTTGGTTGAATTCAATGGACTTGTTTTTTGGGGGGTTTTTTTAGCCTGACTTGCTATCTAACTACATCTTTAAATACAGTTCACAAAAGCTCATATTGCATTTTATCGTAAAATGTATAACTTACTTAACTATATTGTACATGGTCTGAGGAAAGCTGATAAGTAAACTGCATCCTGCAAAAAATAAAACAAAAGACACATGGCATCAATGAGCAACTGGCAACTCTGAATCACTAAAAACAAAATGTACTTTAATAAAAGGGGTGCAAGAAAATAACGTTAGCCTTTCAGCCTTTCTTGGTACTTATTTTCTTCTACAACAATCAAGGTTCTATATACATCAGTCTCCACCTGTAAAGATTATAATCTGATGTCCAGAGACACACACATGCACACAGCAGGGCCAATCTGGGTGGAAGCCAATTGACCTATTGGTATATTTTTCAATTGTGAAAATAAATTAAAGACAACTCACGCAAACATGGAAAGAATATACAAACTCTGTAGAGACTGGATCCATGATGGGAATTACACTAAAACTATTTTTAATTTATAGCAGTGTGTATTCAACTGAAATTCTTAAATGGAAAAAAAATCTTATTTCCCTAAGTTTAGCAGGACTGAATCACCTTTATCAGACCAGAGTTGATAGAAATGTATCAACTGTTAAGAAGATAGTCAACTAAGGAGTGAGCAAGGGGATGATGCGGCAAGACCAGGACCCAACAACAGAATGCAATCTTCTTCAGCCAGATGAGTAAAAATAAATTTTGATTGGTTGGCATAGGTAACTGTACTTTTAGGATAATACCTCTTGAATTGAATAATGCCAGCAGGGGTATAGTTATAAAACATTCCTTGAGGCATATACAGAAGGCAGTTGCCAACTAGGCTAAAAATCCTAACTTGGCACCAGACACTAGCAGGGTTATTCACTAAAGGGTGAAGAGTTTGGAGAAGGCAGGAGAAGTGAACAATCTAGGACAACATAGCGGAACTGGAAAGTGAGCTGAATTGGAGAATTTTTCCAAATCAGCTATTTTGGACTAGATTGTTCACTTCGCCTGCCTTCTCCAACCTCTTCACCCTTTTGTGACTAACCTCTGTAGATGTGCAGTGAATGAATGTGTATCCTCTGTAGAAATTAAGGGGAAAATATAAAACCAGTGCGGGCCCAGCAGATTGTAACATTTGCTGGTATATAATGTAAATGCAGTTCATTTTGCTGAGATTTAGGTTTCATTTCCTGAAAAATACTGATTTACTGAAGTATGGAGAATGATCCAACAGGTATTTGTTAGCTAAGGAGTGGTGAATGATCATTCAAGCGACCATTCAGTGCCTAATGGATAGACTCGTTATTCTAGCCTCGCTTTCTACAATGCAAAAGTTGCTGCTTCAGCGTCTAAGGTAGGGGTAGCCAAACTCCGGCCCTCCAGCTGTGGTGAAACTACAAATCCCATGATGCATCTCTCTCCGGGAGTCATGTCTGTGGCTGTGAGAATCTTGCAATGCCTCATGGGATTTGTAGTTCCACCACAGCTGGAGGTCCGGAGTTTGGTTACCCCTGGTCTAAGGCTTTAACACTGCTAGTCCTCAAGGCAAAAATGTCAGCCCTTCAGTGGCAATCCAGTGTACCCTGCACTTAAAAAAATGATGATCCCTGGAACAGTTCAAAAGTTATATTAGCAATAATGTAAACAGTAGATGATCCCAAGTTAAGAATGTCAGCTAAATTATTATTATAACACATCATTTATACAATGCAGCAGTTTGTATAGCACTTTAAAATATAAAGAATGACAGTAAAGTTACAGTACAAGTCAAGACTGGAGGCCATGCTTGTAAGATCTTACAATATAAAAGGAAGGAGCAAGTGATACAAAAATGTAATAACTGTGTGTGCATTCGTTGTTGGAGAACATATGTTCAGTTGATAGGTAGAGGTGGTATAGGTTTCCATAAAGAGATGAGTTATGAAGGATCAGCTATAGGCAGAGAAGGGGGCAACCAGACAGACTGGTGTAAGGAGTTCCAGAGGATGTGAGAGGCTATCACATTATAACTAAAAGATCAAATAAATATTATACCCTTCAGTCAATAGAATACTTACCTACAAGGAATGTAATTAATATGTCAGGCATATATAAATGAGGAATTACTGGTTTGTGAAATGCATCTACTCCAACTACAGCAGTCAAAATGTACACACATGTCATTGACTGCAAGAGAAGGTAAGCATTAAAAAAATTATAATTCGCACATTTACATGGCAATATTATGTATATACAATGATACTAAAGAGGCATATATATAAATTATCAATCCAAATTTGGAATCTGGGTAGCAATTATGACTTTAACATTTTGGCTTGTCATTGTGGAATGCCTTGTGATTTTGACACTCCAGTTAACTCAAATATGGGCTTAATCTTTCTTATACAAATGATTTTCATGGTACAGAAAGTAAAAACTCACCAACTGGCTGATATCATATGCCCATGGTAGAAAGAGCATTCCTGTGTTGTATTTTTCCCAGTGTGATAACATAAAGGAGAAGAGTACAACACTGGTGACTAAATACATCTTCATGGGTGTTAATCCTGCTACTCCTGAATCACATCCAAATATTGAGAACAAAGATAGTGGAAAGATAGACGCTGTCCAGCTGTCAAGCCCGTGGTCAAATAACTCCCCCAATGGGCTGCTGGACTGAGTCCTTCTGGCATGCTTCCCATCAATTGAATCTGCAAACAATAAGTGACATTTTAGAAGACCTAGAAGAGAGGGGGTACACCTATTGAGATGTTCATATGAGACTTTGAGACTATAAAGGTCGCCACCACCCCATATAAATATTCAATGCTTTGCATTTTGTAAACAAAAAACACCCAAATCTCTTTATCAATGTACATGAATCTAGACCCTGCGTCTAGATTGCATGGGGTCCTGCTAATTCTTTAATTTTGTCGACATGCTTGGACTGCAGTCCAAGAATCTGTTTTTTACCACAACCCTCATTTTTTCTGTAGCAATAAGGTTGATGTCAAAGGGTGATCTTGATTCTGGTGACAGTGTCAGGATTGCTACTATGGAATAATTCCCATGCTAGGAGGACCAGCAAGATGTTACCTATCAGTAGCACAGCAGTGTTCAGGAGCAGCAAGAGAGGGACCCATCTGTGACTCTGCCGCTGGTGATGTGTGACATCAGCCTAGTGTTGCAATGCTGTTGTTTGTAGAGTAATAGTGTGCAGTCTACCAGACACATGTAAATATAAAGTGTTCATGAACATCTGCCTCTAGTATGGATGAAACGAATAAGCCTTTTTTTGGAATTGGCTATATTGATATGTATTTGTAATGGCTGTCACTGAGCTTTCCCATTTTCTATTGAATGACAGTTGCTGTAAAGTTTAAACAGAATAAGCAGATTCCTAATTTAATTAAAACAAATTAAATATGAAGAGGCACTATTCATTTTGAAGTTCTGGCTTATTAGAACTGTACAGAACAAAACTGACTTTGGTTATTAGCACACAGCAATTTCTTAAAGGGGACATGAACTCAAAAAGTGATGATTTGCTATGTTGTAGCGAAGATATAACATGTTTAATTGTGTTTAAATGCTGAGCTGCTCTATATGCAAATAAAGCTTTTATATATAATTAGCTATAACTACCATACCTAGGGCATAAGCCAAAAAGTTTCCCAAAGCTGCAGAGATCCAAATCCAGTTTGGAATATGCTGATTGCCAATACCTGGAAAAGAGAAACATGAACAATGAAGATTATATAATACATTTATTAAACAAAATGTTTAGCCTCCCAAAAGTTCCTGGGAAAGGGTGCACATGAAATATGGCCATTGCTTATAATGCAGTGGGTTCTTTTCTGATTGTATGTAACACATCACATTACTGAGCATCATGTTATATTACAAACTTTCATTTTCAACCAAATCCAATCCAAATGTTATTCTGTCTCAATCACTTATTGATTAGGACTACTGATAGAACATTCATGATTCCTCATCCTCTCCTTCTTTCTCTGTCATGTATTTGTCTTTGATCTGTCCTCATTTGTTCTCTACTTAAAAGAGAACTATGATGTGTATGGTAAGTTATATTGACTGGTGGTTTACAAATAAACATTTAACACAGGATTCACAGAGAATTGTGATTATTTTAAATAGAGAGCACAGCAAAAGCTGTTTACTTTCAGACTCTCTTTGATTGAAACTTCATGTGGTGCGTCTTAACAGATAGCAAGGAAAATGGATAGGTCATTCCTTCAATTCATTCAAGAAAATGTATACACAATTATTATGCATTACCTTTAAACTTCTCTAATAATATGCTATGCTATTTTTATATTTATTAGTCCTATTATGAAATCAAAATTGTGTTAAAAATAGATTAGGAAAAGAACTGCACTTGCTTTTAGTACTGTATAAGTATCCCTTGTAACTGAATGTTTACATGCTCTGTGTTGGTAGTTGCAGCATAAGGATAGGCTGGGAAGTCGAAGCACAATGGATGGAACTGACAGTTATTTCAGTTGGTTTTTCTGTACCAGCTTTAAATAATTAGTCTGGAAAGGCCTCTTCACACTATATGCATTATTCCAATGCAGTCCTAATGCATAGTGAAGGCAAATTGCCTTGTGCCCTATGTGTTGAGTTCACACCACTGCGAAAAGTAGGATATGTGCTACCTTTTTTTCACCACCACTGCTGCAAACTACAACCGCATCGCAACACTCTGCTGTGAATTAAATGAATAAAGTGTCACTTTGTGACATATTAGTAAAGCAGAAAAAAAGAAACAGTGCAATACATTGTAATTAATGCATGGGAACTGTTTACTTTACGCACACCAGAGGCCATGGTAGGGTGCTGCAGCTAGTGTGGACAAGCTCTAAAATATCACTCTTTATGAATTTCTAAGCACAGTGTTCTATATAAGATCAGAAAGACTCACGTGGTTCCAAAAACCTGCTAATTACACACAGAAACAGAGAGACACAACTGGAAAAGTGTTGGGTATCAATTATAAGTGTTTACAGAGCTAAGTACAGACCAAATATTTGCATCATCAGCTATCATTAAGGCCTCTATTGGCTGAAACACGTTAGTGGGGCTGATGTATCTGGTTATATGCCTTAAACAAACTACGATGATTGTAACTGGGTCCAGAACAGTGTGCAAACACTATTTTCTATCTTGTCAGACGAAGAAAGAACTATATTGGTCCCAGGCAGCAATATACCAAATTGTTTTATTTGCTTTCTATACTATATGATCAACAACCATGATCGTGCTGGGTGTAGAAATCAGCCTGGAGATATCAAGCACACAAAACCATGTTTGTATGCGACCAAACATGGCCAGCCGTAATACATTCATTATTTTAGCTTTATGTTAGCATCACAGCTGGGCCTGCAATATGGACCAGCACATATTGTGTACAGATTTACAGAATGTAACTGAACTTTTAGTATTGTTATCCTATAAATGCCCCTCCTCCAAACCAGCAACTACTCAATATCTGTACTTGTATACTTACCTGTCCCTGCTCCTCTGTGAACTCCTCTGAGCCACTTCACTGAAAGTCTCACGGCTGGGTTTTGCTTCTTCCACAAATGCTCTAAAAAATATCATCAATTATCATGGAAAGAAGCCAAAAATGTATGGCTATTTCATTGAAATGAATGGAAATGGTTCGGCCTCACCTGGAGTATGCGGTCCAGTTTTGGGCACCAGTGAACAGAAAAGATGTCCTTGAGCTGGAAAGAGTCCAGCGGAGGGCAACCAAACTCATTAAGGGAATGGAGGGCCAGAGCTATGAGACAAGGCTACTAAATTTAAACATGTTCACGCTGGAAGTAAGGAGATTAAGGGGGATATGATTTTCATGTACAAGATGTTCAATGGTGACAGCAACATTAGCAACAAACTCTTTACGATTAACTCCATGACAAGGACGATAGGCCACCACCTAAAATTGGTGGGAAAAAAATTCCAACACAAGGGGCGGAGGGGGTTCTTTACAGTTAGAGCGGTTAGGGTCTGGAACTCTCTGCCACAGGCAGTGATTTCAGCAAATAGTGTGGAATCATTCAAGAAGCTTTTGGATGATTTCCTGAGAGACCGTAATGTACAGGGGTACAGGAACTCTTAAGAATGAGATGACACAGGGACCTATACATACACACACAAAAGGTTGGACTTGATGGACTTATGTTTTTATTCAACCTCAAATACTATGTAACTATATGTAACTATGTAACTATGAAAGCCTGCCTTGCATAAGCAGAAGAAGTAGAACTGCTCTGCAGAAATAATTTTATGGCTGGACTGGAAGGATTAAAAAAACAATCTTTCCAGATGTTGGTTTATTGTAAATAGTAGTTTATTTGGTGTTCAGTTCTGAACCACCTTTTCAGGTGTACCCTTAAGAAAACTCATATTTCCCTAGCTCTCCTGACCTAAAAGCAAACGTTCCACTCCAGCTGCTTACTTACCTGAGCCACAGCCGATTTATCTGTCTGTTCAGCAGAAATCCTCTTCAGCTATGGCTACACCTGCAGAAGGCATCTTCATAGCCTTGTAATCTTCAAGACTGGCGATACTCCCAGTATGCTGTGCAATATGTTATATATACCCCTGTACTACTTCACTATGTATATGTATGCTACTATGCTGTATGCTACATACTTACCCCACCACAGCATTGTTTGCTTTGCTGTGCATTGCATACCCTCACCCACCATACTCAATAAACAGTGCTAAAGGATCACTGCTCTGTAAGATCTGTGCTATATGTTACATTCACCAGACCACTTCATACAAATTTTAGATTGCTGCACAGTGTATGTGGACTGTATTTTTAATACTTCAGACACCCACATTCTGTATTATGTGCTATATGTTATGTACTTCAAGCACTATATGTTGAGTACTATTGACCATACTCTATTCACTGTGCCTTATGTAATTCACGCTACTCTTCTTTATACACTTTATTGTACTTCACTACCGTACCTTTAATACTGCCAGGGAGATTATGGCACGCTAGACACAAGTTTATTGACATTGCAAGATTTGCTTGCTGATCCATGCAGACACAAAGGAAATATCTAAACTATTTCTCACAACGTGAACACCCACAGAACAGAAGAAACGTGTCTCTTCCTCTACAGTAAGTAACATCTGGTGGGAAAAATTGGGGCATTTTCTTAGAACCAGCCAAGGGACCTGTTGCTTTTGCTATATTATATTCCAGTGAATTATGTTTTATTATCAATATTACTTTTAACCTTTATGGCTATCAAACTCTTGACTATGTGGCAAACAGCTCTATATGGTAAACACTGAACGGTTAATATACTATAATTTTTGGCAAGCTGTGCTTGTTTAACATATAACTTTGGATAACTTTGGTTACTAAATATGTTGAGGTTAACATGATGCAGAAATGTTTGTTGTTTTACTATATTAGATGCGGAAGTATACTGTGTATCTCTTGTTTTGTAGGCATGTTGCACACTACTCAGAAAAAAATGTTACTGCATGCGTTGATGAATGGGGCATTTCTTTTGTTTACATGCTGGAGTTATCGGTAATAGCTAGAGACTGGTTATTTGGTAAAGTGTATCAGTGTGTGTGTGTGTGTGTGTGTGTCTGTGTGTCTGTGTGTGTGTGTGTGAAGATTATTATGAAGATGAAGATTATTTAGTTTTTTGAACACTCCTAATTTATGTATCTCAAAGAGTCACAAAACAAGAATTGCTTATGACAGGCAGAAAGTCACAGAATAAACATTTATATCAAGAAATATAAATTGTCATTGTCTATGTACGGCTTCCTGACTCAGTTGATTAATGCTGGAACACATGAGAAGTGACTCCTTCATTCTATCATCTTAAAACTAGGAATGAGGGGAAGACTGGGAAAGGGTTAGGGCTTGTTCACAACAAATGCAGACCAGAGTTGCATGAGTTTCTGCACATGCAGTGCAGTGTGTTTTGCCACACTTTTGTCGTGTTCCGGGCTGTTTTTGTAAAAACCAAAAAATTATTGTATTTTTCTTTAGCCTAAAATGGGCTTTCAGTGCATTCCAGGGCATTTGCATGCATTTTGTATGCGTTTGCATGCGTTCCAGAGCATTTCATAGAAGGAAAAATAGGGCTTTCTGCAGTTTTTTTTACATGCTCAGGAACCGAACGCTGCAGTGTGAACCAGAGCCCAAAATACCATTGGAATACATTGGACACAGTTGTGATCTGTTCTGTAACTGTTCTGCTCTGACCCTGCTCTGCGCTTGGTGTGAACCAGCCTTTAGGGAGGAGGAAGGGCCTCAAAGCTTTGTTTTTAGGGGATTTTTAAATGTTGTAAATATTAATTTCACTTCAACAAATTAAAATACCTTTTTTTTCTACATTTTTTACCCTAACCCTAATTCTGCACATAAAGGAATGGACACCTCTAAATAGATCATAAAAGCAATAGTAAGGAGATAGTAAGGAGAGCAGCATAGATGCAAAGAATATTCATAGTGTATGAGACATAATATTACCTGACGCTGTATAATTCCAGTCATAATAAGATAATAACATATAATTAACTAATATCATCAAAAATCCAGAGAAAGTTAATATGTTTGGAGCAATCCAAAGAGGCACTATCTAGAAAAAAGAAACATGAAAACTGATAAATGCATAATATTAAATTACTTGATAAGAACACATAACTTTTTTTATTTTATTTCAACACACATGTTAAAATTAGTATTTTAGGCATGAAAACTACTCAAAACCTTAAAACGTTATGTATAACCTGAACTGTTTTTAAAACCTATATTTTTAGTAAAAAGATATGCTAAAACTAACTGCAATGCACACTAGCACAATATAATTCACATTTACTGGCCGTGTCGAGGAAATAGAAACCAAAAGCAAAAAAATACAATGCTCTAAATTGTCTACAGGCAACACTATAAAAATCTTTTCGGTTGATTTCAGCCGATATACGGCTGAAATCAGCCGTACCAGCCTGAAGTGAATAGCCGAACAGTGTTCGGCTCACTTCACTTCTGATCGGTCATTCACTCGGCTGCCCTCGGCAGCTTTGTGAATAGACCCCTTAGTCTTTGCCATTCTTACTCCCTTTTGACTATCCTGAAGGCAGCATGCCATCCTGAACTCCTGGCATCGTTCCCGAGTGTTACTCGGGCCAGGAATTGATTGTTAAAAAGGTTACCTTGAGTAATGTTCATGGATAACTGTTTTTGCATTGAATTGACACACCGAGTACCGGTGAGGATTAACACCAGGTGTTGAAAAGAGTATTGTGTATTTACAGTGAGAACAGATTTGTAGTTATTATTTCACATTTAGGATCAAATTTTATAGGCTCGCTCTTTCATATTTTTATTATTGTACTAAATGTAGAGATTTGCAGATTCGCCACAAGAGAGCAATAGAATAATTATTATAATTACATGACCTCCCTACTTGACAACTGTTGCAATAAGATATCGGCTACACAAGGAGTGTGTTGTTTTGAAAGGGTTAGGTGACTCATGGACTTGCAATGCAAGAAGGAGCAGTAAAGTAAAACATCATTGTTGTAAGGCAAAGCAGGAAGTAAAGGCTGCATAAATAGTGAGCAAATATATAAATAACTTAAAATGTTTACATAAAAACAAGGTTATTAATACAATAACAAAGAAGGACATGATTAATATATAAAAGGTAATCTCTAATACATATATATCTAAAAAACCCTGAAAAGACTAGACTTCCCCTTTAAGCAACTATTACACCTGGCTGATGGGTGAGACAAGTCATAGATGTTAATATGACTTTTCTCGATGCCCAGTGGGCATTTCCGCCTCCAGGTAAATTTTCTATTTATTTTCACCGCTTTGGTCTATTGCAGGGGTAGGCAACATCGGCACACCATCTGTGATAAAACTACAAATCCCATCATCAACAAAGTTTTCATTTTCAAACCAACTCAGACCTCCCCATCCAATCTGAATGCCTGCTGGGACCCCAGTACACAGCAAAGGTTCCTGCTCCACCTAAAACTAAAACACTGGCACACAGACAAGGATCTTCTCCAAATATCACTTTATTGTAATTCTGCATAAAAACAGCAAAGTAGCTTACATGTTCCAGCCCAAACCCTGGGCCTTAGTCATAGTTTACACCTATGAGCAATAACCGTACAGTATATACTCGAGTATAAGCCGAGTTTTTCAGCCCATTTTTTTGCTGAAAAATGCCCCCCTCGGCTTATACTCAAGTCTGCGTCTCAAGCTGGTCAGGTTTCTTCTTACTCACCTCGCCGCGTCGCGTCACTACTGCTCCGGTGGGCGGCGCTCCGAGCGGGGTCATCTGGCAGTCTCCGGGTCCTAATTTATGTAGCCTGAGACTGCCAGAGACCCCGCTCGAAGCGCCACCCACCGGAGCAGCAGTGACGCTCGGCGAGGTAAGTAAGAAGAAAAAAAAAAACCCCCACAGCGGCCAGTCAGGAGCAGGGGAGCAGGGATTAGTCAGCGGCGCGCTAGTCAGGTGAGAGGAGCTCCAGGTGGGGTTGTAATTTAGCAGGCAGGCACCTCTAAGTCAGCTGAATTAGGACCCCACCTGGAGCTCCTCCCACTGGACCAGCGCGCCGCTGACTCGTCCCTGCTCCGTAGTTTTGATCGATCACCGACACACACACAGTAATTTTATTGGTATCTATCTTCATTTTGTACATTTACCAGTAGCTGCCTCATTTCCCACCCCCGGCTTATATTCGAGTCAATACTTTTTCCCAGTTTTTTGTGGTAACATTAGGTACCTCGGCTTATATTCGGGACGGCTTATACTCGAGTATATACGGTATGTTTCCTAATGATTATTCTTGGATAATGTTTGACCAGGGTATATAGAATAAAGGTCCTCTTTTGAAAAAAAGAAATAATCTTACCTGTACAATTTTATTCCATACATGTTGCAATACATATACAGATAAAGGATTTGTGTCCACTGCACTATACTGAAAAGAAAAAAAGAGTAGACATTATTACATTTAAATTTATATGTATGTGTGACTATGTACATATATACTTGCAGATCCAGCAGCCAGATCCTACATTTGGTTTAAAAAGATTATAAGAGATGTTTTATCCCAGGTCCTAGGGAGGGGGATCATTATTAGGGATTTTATTTAACTATCTACATCCTTTGCATCCATATATACTGGAATTACATACATTGCCTAAAATACATAAGGATTCAGTGTCACCTCCATGGAGACCCATGGTATTTGGGATTCTAGGGATTTCTATATTTATCTCCCAATAGTTATGGAACATGCAAGGAACAAGAGCTTACTTGAAAGATACTCAAGATTCCGAGTACTCTGAGGTAACACCAGATACTGTATTAGCGTTTATACATCAATTAACAATGAGAAAGGTCTTACAGTAACAATATCACAGTAACAATATCATTATTTTGTTCTGACAAGTATACAGAGGTCCAGATTGAAATGCTCCGAGAATCATTTAGTTTGATTTTGCAAAATGATGACTTTTTCTTCTAAGACCAATTTTATGTTTGCAGTGTATAGCAATGGGATCCAAAGTCTCCCTGTCATCATATGCAGGGGATTTTATTAATGATTTTTCCAATGATGTAATGTAGCCACTGCTCTAAGCTCGCTGCCGTGATGGACTACAATCTCATTACATATAAGTAAACTAAACATGAGATTGTAGTCCATCATGGGAGCGAGCTTGGGGCTCTGGCTACTTTACAACACACACAGGAACCATGGGGAACAAAAGTAGCCACCCTCCAGAAGGCAGTGTCAGCCTGAATTCAGAGATTTTATTATTCAGACAATTTTAAGCAGCACTTTTTTTACATACAGCACATCAGTCTCTGTCCTCAAGCAGCTTACAATCTAAGGTCCCTATCTCCCATGCATACATACAAGGGCCAATTTAGAGAGGAGCGAATTAAGGATTTGAGTATCTACAGACGAGTGATGCACAAATAAGTGTACAGCTCCGTGCTGCGTGCACGGCCGTATCTGGCAGCTCCCGAGAAGGACAGGTGCTGCGTGTGATTAGTACGCAGCCCCAATCTTTCTCTATGGGACTACGCAGAGAATATCTTTCTCTATGGGCCGTACACTGCCCTTCGCTCACCCCAAATGCAGGTACGTATGGGTGTGGGTGTCCCGGCTCGGACGCAGACAGGATCCTTCCTGTCAGCGTACAATTACGGACACCCGCACGGACATGCAGGGCGGGTGAGCGTAGCGTGGCGTACAGCCGCATAGTCCCATAGAGAAAGACAGGGGCTGCATACTAATCACCTGCAGCAACTGTCCTTCCCGTAGAGAGGCTTCATGTATTTTTAGGATTTAACTCCTGAGTTTAGTGTCACTTTAAACAGCTCCACACGGGGGTTGCTTGTTTCCAACTATTAGATTTAAGCTGAAATTAAGATTAAATTGTTTTCAATTCAGATTTATTTGTCACATACATAATCGTACAAGTATGACATGCAGTGAAATGCTTACACGACTGCAAAAAAGAGGGGGAGGAGTAAACAGGTAAGGGGAAAAAAATCTAATATATATAAAATATACATATAAAACATTTCAAATTTACATTGACAAAAGAGAATATAAGTATTAAAAATTAAATATTAAAAATTATTAAGAATTAAATTAAACTAAAAATGCAAACTAAAATACAGTATGAATTGTAAAGTGTGCGGGTGCAAACAGCAGCAATACGGGGTGAATGAATTAAGATGTTGACCAGCAGTGTATTGACCATTCTTTTAAAGTGCAGATGTGCAGTAAATGTGAGTGTAAGAACATTAGTCTAGTCAGGCAGTAAAGTGCATGTCTATATAAAGATCTGGTTGAGAGACCGTATAGCCTGAGGGAAGAAACTTCTCCTCAGTCTCTCTGTGTTGGCCTTTAAGGAGCGGAAGCGCTTCCCAGACCTCAACAGAGAGAAAAGTCCATTGTTGGGATGGCTGAGGTCCCTCACGATCTTCCTGGCCTTGGTTCAGCACCGCTTGCAGTAGATTGAATTCAGGTCAGGGAGCTTAGTACGGATGATGCTCTCAGCCGATCGCACCATCCTCTGAAGAGCTCGTCTGTCCTGCATGGTGCTGTTCCCAAACCAGGTTGTGGTGTTTCCCGTCAGGATGCTCTCTATGGTGCAGGAGTAAAAATTCCTAAGCACCCTAGCGGGCAGTCTGAAGTCTCTCTTAGTAAATGAGGCCCAATATGGTAAATAGTTTAGGACACAAATTCTCCATCCTGTTCTTTTCTCTTGCTTAGAAGTACTGTGATATAGAATGTATAGATGTTAGCCCTTTTAGGTCTTTGGTGATCATTGACATCAATAAAAACAAAAATCTGGATAGGCAAAATGTATAAATACAGATGATGGCAGAGCTACTATAGTGTTTTTAGGGGGTAAAAAAGTGCAGTAGTAGTTGAAATGTTGACTTATGCCAAATGATTGAATGTCAGGGAATGGTTAAAAAGAACAACTGTGCACTGACTCCCAGTGATTTCAGTGTGGAACTTTAAGTGTATCTAAGGCCAGGGTTATACAATAATAAATAAAAAAGTTTGGCATTAGAAATACTTTCAGGAATTTGAAGTAAACACTTATTTCTCATTATCATGCTCACATACCTTTTCATTTGGCTGTAACCATGTTTGCCCTCATTGTGATGACATCTCATTAAAGGAGAACTATGGGGTTCTATCTTTTTTTTATGAATGCATTCCTTAGGCTAAATAAGTAAATAATGTAATTTACTGTAATTTACGGATCCGATCAGCAGGGATCTCCAGTGACATCATTTACCATATATGGACTTTCCGATTTGTAGTAAATGCTGAAGAGAGAGAGAGAGGAGCTGGCACACGGGGACGTGCAGGTAAGGAGAGAGCTGCTGCGCATGTCCATATATTCGTGGACGCGCAGCAGCTCTCAAGAATCACTGTCAGTCATCAGTGGGGAGGATCCCGTCAGATACGTCGAGATGTCTTCTCATTGCGGCGCTTAGCCCCGCCCACCACCTAAAATAAGGTTTTACAGCCTTCCTGTGCATTTTGGCTAATTACAGTAAATTACATTTACTTATTTAGCCTAAGGAATGCATTCATTAAAAAAAAGATAGAACCCCATAGTTCTCCTTTAAACCTGCAGTGATTTGGCTGCTTATTTTTCTACCCTACTTATCCAAGGGGACGACGGATGACACTTTTTTCATTAGCGTGGTTTCCCGCACAGAGGGCTTATGATGCAAACTTCAGTCAATATCTGATTTTTTTTTTAAATCATGCCAATATAGAATAAAACCCTATAAAATTCACAAGGCACTGTTTCAAGAGCAACTGGTTCTTTAACCCCTTAGCGACCAGTGATGTACATAGTACGTCATTGGCAGCCGTCCCCTTTAAACAGACGCCGGCACTCTGTTTACAATTGTAAAGCCCGCTGTCGGTTTTACAATAGAAATTATTCTGGAGGCTCAGCTGCTGTCAGATCGCTTCTACAGGCCATTAAAGTGCCCCCTGCCCACCTGATACCACCGCCGTCTTTCCCGGGCTCTGCTGCCTCTAGTGCGGGCCCAGGGTGTCGGCGGGAAGCTGGGAGGAGAGCGGCAAACGTCCATTCACCGATCTCCTCTCCATTCTATGGGACCGGAGAGATGCAGATTGCATCACTTCCAGTCCCTGAGTTGTCAGTGATGGGCTCCTTAAGGCAAGCAATAAGCTATTGAAGTGCAAACTGCACTTCTAATTTAAAGCGGAAAGGTGATAGTAGGGGTCTTTTGGACCCCCATTGTCACCTTAAAGAGGACCTGTCACCACCAAAATGCTATCACACGGGGGGCTTGTAAGACCCTCTATGTAATAGCAATTAAAGTAATTAAAAAAAAAAGTTTTACAAAATAAATTTAAAAATAAAATACATTTAAAAATAATTAAAATGTTTTTAAAAGTCCCTCGCCCCTGCAAGCACGCGCATATTCACGTAAATGGGTGTGCCTACGTACAAAAACGACGATCGCGCTACACATGCTGGTTATCCCTGCGCACGCCAGAGTGAGGGCAATAATTCTAGGGCCAATATTTATACGTATCTCTGAACTGATGACATGTAGGGGCACTTAAAGCATCGTCTATGGATGTTTTGGGGTACTGAATTTTGTCGCTGTTTCACATACGCGTACAATTTTTGACCTGGGCAAGTTGGGTATCTATTTACTCGTTGTAACCTCATCTTTTAAATGGGTAATATATTGTGTTTTAGGGTACTAAATTTAACTTAAAAGCATTTTTCACTAAATTTATGGGTTTGATAAAGATTTGCTCTAATATCTTGCAACATCAAAATTTGCAACTGCTGCCATTTAATTCTACAGGGTCTTGGCTTTCAGAAAATATATAATTTTGGGGGGTTGTGGATTATAACATGTGTGCAAAAAACGGGAAAAAAGGCCCTGGTAGCGAAAGGGTCCTTAAGGGTTTAACCTGATAAGCAAAGTAAGGTGGCTACATTTTCACTTAAAACTTCCAAGCTATCTTCTGTGAACTACAGAACACCTACCCCCTATGTAATAGCAGTGAGGAGAGGGGAGGTGTTTGTAATCTAAATAAGTAAAGCAGCCTAGGCTGAGGGTGCTTCTCTGTAGATATAGTGCAGTAAGCGACTTACATTTTAGTTTTTGGGTTTAGATATGCTTTAAAGCTGTAAGGGTTATGTTCAGCTGTACCATCTGCTCTCCATATCAGAGATATGAAACAATAGTGTTATCTGCAACAATAATACTGAATGTTTGCCTTGTGATGCTAGGTCTGTGAGGTTTACTATTAACCGACATACGTACCAGGAGGTGCAACAAGACATGCTGCGATAAAAGGCAATAAATGATACTAGCAGAACAAGTGTCCTTGTCATTAGCCAGAGGAAAAGTGTCCACCCACTGCATTCCCCAAGAGCTCTGTCTATTGATTCAAGCAGGTTATAGTGTTATGAGATAAGAAATAGGTAGAAGGGGTCAATATAGTAGAAAATGAACACATATATAAGAACATACTATTGCATCCAACATGTATACAATATTCACATTTTTACTTGCCTACTGCAGATCCAAACACAAACTAAAGATAAAGAGCCTAAAAGTCAACATGGGCCTTACATATGAGAGTCTGAATGAAAAGCTTTTATTTTATAGACAACCCTTGCAGTGTGGATTGAACAAGCTTGGATGTTTAGCTGTAGTAGAGATAACTAACAGTTCCTTCAGAAAGTTTTCTTCATGAGGCCCTGTAAATAACAAAATATCACTGTATATCACTGACATCACACTGTGTAGCTTTAAAATGTAACTTCACCTGCTGGGCAAAAAAACATCATAAGGGATATACACTGATCAGCCATGACATAGCCACTGTTAGGTGAAGTGAATAACATTGATTATCTCATTACAATGGTACCTGGAAGTGGGTGGTATATATAGGCAGCAAGTGAACATTTTGTTCATGAGGTTGATGTGTTGGAAGCAGGAAAAATGGGCAAATATAAGGATTTGAGTGACTTTGACAAAGGCCAAATTGTGATGTCTAGATGACTGGGTCAGAGCAACTCCAAAACTGCAGCTCTCGTGGGATGTTCCCAGTCTGCAGTGGCCAGGACCGACCAAAAGTGGTCCAGGGAAGGAAAACCGGCGATGGGGTCATGGGTGGCCAAGGTTCATTGATACATGTCGGGAGTGAAGGCTGGCCCATGTAGTTTGATCCAATAGAAGAGCTACTTTAGCACAAATTTCTGAAAAAGTTAATGCTGGCTCCAATAGAGGTGTCTGAACACACAGTGCATCACAATTTGTTGCATATAAAGCTGCATAGCATTAACATGCTGCCCCCTGTCCATCACCAAAATGCCTACAATGGGCACATGAGCATCAGAACTGGACCACAGAGTAAGAAGAAGGTGGCCTCAGCTGATGAATCACATTTTCTTGTACATCATGTGGATGGCCCGTGTGTGTTGCTTACCTGGGGCAGAGATGGCACCAGGATGCACTATGGGAAGAAGGCAAGCTGGCAGGGCCATCATGATGATTTGAGCAATGTTCTGCTGGGAAACCTTGGGTCCTGCCATTCTTGTGGATGCTACTTTGACAGCGCCACCTACCTAAACATTGTTGCTGACCAAGTACACCCCTTCATGGAAATGGTCTTCCCTAATGGCAGTGGCCCAATTGAGCATCTGTGGGATGCGCTGGAAAAACAAGTCTGATCCATGGAGGTCCCAAATACCTCAGCATACCTTTAGAGGTCTAATGAAGTCCATGCCTTGACAGGTCAGGGCTCTTTTTGGTGGCAAAAGGGGAACCCACTCAATATTAGACGGGTGGTCATAATGTTATGGCTGATCATTGTATATGTTTAAAATATGGTAATAGCTGCAATGCTGAACACATCCACTGGTAACTTACTACCATATCCTTCTCTGTTCTGACATCACTGCCGGGATTATACAGGTACCATCGGGCAGAAGATCTCCCTGACTAATAGTACCTAAAAAGATTACTGAGTGTTGAAACACTTTGCGTCCCAGCACATGATAACCACCAACACTCTGCAACGCGGCTCCCCAGGTATGCCATGAGAAAGTCTTGCATGCAGGGCCAGATCGATGGAGGAGCCCTCCGCACACCTCACAGCAGTCCCGGCCAATAAGCAAAGAGGTGCTCGTAATGATAACCACGGATGGCACCGTGCAAACACAGAACAAAAAAGCAAATCACCAGCACTCAGTAATAAATAATAGAAGAGCTACTTTAGCACAAATTTCTGAAAAAGTTAATGCTGGCTCCAATAGAGGTGTCTGAACACACAGTGCATCACAATTTGTTGCATATAAAGCTGCATAGCATTAACATGCTGCCCCCTGTCCATCACCAAAATGCCTACAATGGGCACATGAGCATCAGAACTGGACCACAGAGTAAGAAGAAGGTGGCCTCAGCTGATGAATCACATTTTCTTGTACATCATGTGGATGGCCCGTGTGTGTTGCTTACCTGGGGCAGAGATGGCACCAGGATGCACTATGGGAAGAAGGCAAGCTGGCAGGGCCATCATGATGATTTGAGCAATGTTCTGCTGGGAAACCTTGGGTCCTGCCATTCTTGTGGATGCTACTTTGACAGCGCCACCTACCTAAACATTGTTGCTGACCAAGTACACCCCTTCATGGAAATGGTCTTCCCTAATGGCAGTGGCCCAATTGAGCATCTGTGGGATGCGCTGGAAAAACAAGTCTGATCCATGGAGGTCCCAAATACCTCAGCATACCTTTAGAGGTCTAATGAAGTCCATGCCTTGACAGGTCAGGGCTCTTTTTGGTGGCAAAAGGGGAACCCACTCAATATTAGACGGGTGGTCATAATGTTATGGCTGATCATTGTATATGTTTAAAATATGGTAATAGCTGCAATGCTGAACACATCCACTGGTAACTTACTACCATATCCTTCTCTGTTCTGACATCACTGCCGGGATTATACAGGTACCATCGGGCAGAAGATCTCCCTGACTAATAGTACCTAAAAAGATTACTGAGTGTTGAAACACTTTGCGTCCCAGCACATGATAACCACCAACACTCTGCAACGCGGCTCCCCAGGTATGCCATGAGAAAGTCTTGCATGCAGGGCCAGATCGATGGAGGAGCCCTCCGCACACCTCACAGCAGTCCCGGCCAATAAGCAAAGAGGTGCTCGTAATGATAACCACGGATGGCACCGTGCAAACACAGAACAAAAAAGCAAATCACCAGCACTCAGTAATAAAGATGAATATGTCCTTTTTATTGGACAAGACGTCACAGTGATCCAAAAAGCCGACGTTTCGGGGCCGCGCAGGGTCCCTTCCTCAAGGCAGAAAGATGTGACCTTTTTTTTTCTTGTTTTGCATGCAGGGCCTTCTCATCCCAGGGACACAAATCATTCAACGCAGCCAGCAGGCTGTAGTTTAGGGACCATCATCCCTTTTTAATTTGTTTTTATACACTGTTTTCATATGATAATATGTTAAACTTTTATTTTCTAGGTAGGCATTAATGTGAATGCAGTTACCTGTCAGAAAGTATAAAAGTGGTATCTTTAAACATCTAAAAATGTTAATTATGCCTAAGCAGTTTCTTCGAAAAACATAACTTAACCACCTCTCGTCCGCAGCCGTTGGTAGACGGCCGGACGGGAGTCTTGTAGGGGCGGGAGGGCGTCTTGAGATGTCCTGCCCCTCCCCCGGCTCGTGAGCGTATCGCGCTCGCTTCTATGCGGCTACGCTGCTAAAAAGTTTCACATGCATGGTATCCCCATACTCAGGAGGAGTAGCAGAATGTGTTTTTGGGTGTAATTCTAACGATGCCTATGCTGTGTGTTAGCTATATCTTAGTAATTGATAGCTTTGTGTAAAAAAATATTATTTTTTCTTCACATAGTTGTCAATTACTAAGATATATCTGGCTAAAAAATGGCTAAAAAATTAAATCATCAAAAAACTCAACATGCCTCTTAATACATGCCTTGAAGTGTCTGGTTTCCAAAATGGGGTCATTTTGTGGGTGTTTCTACTGTCCAGGCATTATAGGGCCTCAAGAATTGCAATAAGCGGTCAGGGCACCAGGATTGATACATTTCAAATATATATACTGTAGTCTGTGGACTGTATAACTTTCAAACACTGTACTTAATATACCCGTATTTTTTTTTTTTACCAAAGACATGTAGCAGAATAAGTTTTGGCCTAAATTTATGAAGAAAGATAATTTATGTGCAATTTTTCATTTCTTAACATAGGGAAAACTGTTTTTTTTTTTTAAATTTCGGCAATTTTTCCTTTATATAGTAAAAAATAAAAACCCCAGTGGTGATTAAATGCCACCAAAAGAAAGCTCTATCTGTCTCCAAAAAAGGGTATAAAATTAATTTTGGTATGGCGTTGCATGACGGAATAAATGTCAGTCAAAGTACAACAGCGCTGAATACTGAAAAATGGCCTGGCCAGGAAGGGGGTGAAACACCCTGGTCTTCAAGTGGTTAAAAAACAGCAGCACGCTTCCTGTGCCAGGAGTCTCATAGCTGTATATCTACAATGTGAGAGGCAGCTGTATATATGTTGATAAGCATCTCCCTGCTTCATTCATTCTGTGGCTCTGTGCTTCCTACACCTCTCATATCGCTTCTTAATCATTACTTCAACAAGCATATACTGTATATTTTCAGTATAAAAGACATTAATACTAAAAATGTAGTGCACACAAACACAATATAATGCACTTTTGTTTGCAAAAATTTTGTTGAGTAGATAGATAAGAAACATGTCAAGCCTTTGAATAGCAAGTGCCTGCGAAACTGCAACAACAAAATGCCATACTCAAATAGGTGATGCTTTAAAAGCATTTACAGCACATCCCGGATAGGGGGATTTGGCAGATAGCAGGGAAATCAGCAGATAGTAGAGGAGCTAATGTTTCTCCTGTTATATATCTATTGTTTTGTTTTTTTTTTTATTCTGGCAGCGGCCGCCGTCAGAATAAAAAACAAGAGATAGCATGAATAGCTAGGCTGCTATTGGCCATTTCAAATTGCAACAGCCAATAGCAGGTTGGCTATAATACCCATCCACTGCTGCTCCAGTTCCACCCCTGCTGATTAACAACAGCAGTGGATGGGTGCAATAGCCAGCCTGCTATTGGCTATTGCAATTTGAAATGGCCAATAGCAGCCTAGCTATTCATTCCCCTGCTATCTGATTTTTTTTTTTTTTTCTCTGCAGCCGGCCACCGGTAGAATATAAAAAACAAATACAGATAGCAGGTAACAGCAGATAGCAGGGGATCCTGGAAAGGTTTACTCAGGTTATCTTATAGTGGGAGACTTGGGATATCTGCTGTAAGCCTGATTTACCATTCGTTGCAAGTCAAGGGCTCCTGACATTTCTTCATTATGAACAATAGACACTGACATGGAATCTTGTGAGACAATGCTAAAGGCAAAAAAAAACACCATGGTAATGTGATTTATAGTGACAATATAGTAAGACAAAATCATATATATACATCATATAATCATACATAAATGATTGCAGGTGCTAATGATGGGTGCTGTCCTTGCTAACCATTAAGGTGCCCATACACCTTACGATTATCGGACGAAACTTTTCGGCCGATGATCGAACCGTCGTACGATTTTCGTACGACGGCCCCATCCTGCCCCGATGATCGCAAGATTAATTTAGCCGTAATTAACGAAAAGCACCTGGACGAAATGCGGTAAATGATTTGCCATATTTTCGTTAGCGCAAGCGCAGTGTAGATCGTACGACTTGTGACGGACGGAAACGCCAGCAACCTTACGAAAATCGTACGATCTAGCAAAGTTTTCAAACATGCTTGACCGCCAAAAGTCGTACGATTGTACAGTACTATCGGTCGGGCACTCTATTCACACGTTACGATTGTCGTACGAAAAGTCGATCACATACGATTATCGTACGATAATCGTAAGGTGTATGGGCACCTTTATGCTATGCCACCGATGTAAAACCACTTATATCTGATTTCTGAATGAATTACACCTACATGGAATGTTATAGTCTTTAGATAAGCACATTCATTTTCTTTCTCCTCTGATGTCTCGGCTTATATTCGGGTCAATACTTTTTCCCAGTTTTTTTTTGCTAAAATTAGGTACCTCGGCTTATATTCGGGACGGCTTATACTCGAGTATATACGGTACCCAGTGCAAGTTAGCAGCTCTCTTTACTACAAGACAACCTATCATATAGTCATGTTCACTTCCATCTTTTCTTTCAGTTCACTGTCATCATGCAACAGAATCCAACTGCCAAGCTTGTAAAGTAGGACAACAGAAGAAATAAGATCTAAATTTGGTGAATTAATCATAAGTACCTTTTCACCTAGACTGTATAAGGTGCAAATAATTGTTATATGCTAATGTGATAAAGTTATATCAACTGAAACATTGTTCTGAAACTGAAAATGATCCCAGAACTGGAAAACCACACTCTTGATATTAAAGCTGAACTCTAGGGAAACGGCTAAATACATAGATGAAAGAAAGCTGTTTCATCTCTTTCTTCGCTGCATATTCACTTTCACTTGCAGATCTCTTCCCCACCCTGTGACTTGGTAGTGAAATAGGAAGCACACTAATGAGCTCACCTCTCTTTCACTTTGCTCTATCCTCCTATAAGCATGCTGCTTGCACTGCAGCACATAATATATTAAAGGGGAAGTGAAGATTGACCTGGAAAAGTGGGTTTATCCTTTAATGAGCACAAAGCTGCAATAATTTGTGTCTTTTATATCTGCCTGGAATTTAGCTTTAAGATAATTCTGTACAATAGGTCACACGTTGATCATCTTTGCACCAAAATGCATCTTTGGTGACAGTTAACACATTCAGTTATTAAATCAGTTGTAAGTAATTGCAGCGCTTCCACTAACAAAGTCAAAGACCTTGTTCTGTCACAAAGAGGTAAATGTATGCTTTAGATCAGGGGTAGCCAAATTCTGGCCCTCCAGCTGTGGGGAAACTACAAGTCCCATGAGGCATTGCAGGCCTCTGAAAGCCACAGATGGGACTCCCAGAGGCATGATGGGATTTTTTTCCCCACCACAGTTGGAGGGCCAAAGTTTGGCTACCCCTGCTTTAGATAGTAAACAAGCTCCACTGTGCTCAAATTAATGATGTTCCACCATAACCAAGGGTAACCAAGTATACTCATAAAAAATTAGACCTCAAGAGGTCAACATGTGCTTGATTCAACAGCTGGAATAATTATCTGCAGAGACTGGTATTCTCTGTGTTGTTTCAATCTCCATAGAAGACTCTTGTAACAGTTAAATCAAATAAAAACTGGACAATTTAAATTCATATATGATAAAACATAAATAGAGGTTATCTTGAGTAAAAGTAAAATATTAAAACAACTAAGAGATCCAGAGACATTAAACTATGATCCTGTCAGGAGGATTGTAGATTATCACAAAGGATGTCATTGTGCAGTTAAGAATACATTCCCCACATTGCTTTCTCTACTGATCACCTTGACGACTTATCTCAGCCTTTCACAGCTGTTTCGTGTGATACGTTTTCTTTTCGCAGGTTATTAAACAGCCTCTGTGCAGCCGAGAAAAAAAAAGAGATCTGCTGAGTAAAGTTAACTCGTGATAAAGCTAGTTTTATCACGGTTTATTAAACGTACACCTATATGTAAATCTTGACTTTTCCTGTAAAAGTCAAATTTGACACTTACCGCCTCTACCCATTACTGCTTTAAAGTGATAGGTGGACTCAATGAAAAATAGAGAGACTGAAGAGGGGGAGAGGAGAGTCCAAGTGCTCCATTTGTGGATCTACTGGGTTGTTCACTGAAGGTAACCTCATGCATTTCTTTATTCAATGCACAATTTTTTTTGACATGTTTATTTTAACGATGCCTCTGGGGATAATGATAAAAAATCAATAACAATTCAGTGCAACCGTTACAGTGTTGTTCATCACATTATAACATTATTAGTTCTTGCCATGAGAGGCCCCATCCCTATTTTTGAAAGCAAATCCTCGTTCAAAATAGATATAATTCACAAATGAATCTTGTTAGGGAATAAGCCACACAGAGAATTCCTCCACCGCAAATAAATGAATGCATTGTAACAAAGCTGTATCCACATTTTCTTTAAGGTTTGCTCCTTCCGCAATACCGAAAGTGAATAAAAAATGACAGTACTGTGCTAATGAGCATACCGGCACATCACACTGTTTACTTTATTGAAATGTCATGAGTTACTTTAAAAAAAACAAAACAATCGTCGTTTTGGTTTTAAATCACCATCTACCGTAATATGTGATGATAAAATAATTTAAAACTATTCAGCATGCAGGCTGTATAAATACTAAAAATTCTTATTACTTACCAACTAAAATCATACAATATAATTTATGATTATCATTTAGAATAATAATAAGCCTTAGCATAATAGTGGCTTGATAGCATGAATGCCAAAAGATAACCTGCATACTGTGTAATACTGAGGGTTACCTTGTACTTGTCAAAGCCAGCAAGTTGATCCGAGGTGATATACTGGTAGTTACACATGATGTCTATTCAGAGAGTTTTCATACGGCTCTCCTGTCCCCACACAATGCCTGCCCTCTAGTAGTTCTCCTTTGGGCAGCAGAATGACGGTCTTCCTGTGGTGTAACAACCCGTTCAATAAGAACAGTTAGTGTACGTGTGTTTTTCAGTCTGTGTACTGCTATCTTATCTGTGGAGAGCACAGTTCTTGATGTCACTACCCAGGGAGGCAGGTATTCAAAGTATCACCTTGCTTTATCTGCCAATGACTAGAATAATACATGAAGCACTTGATCTTTTCATTAAAAAATGTCTACTGACAGTATTTTTTAAATGACAACCACACAGCTATTTTTGTACATAAGCATTTTTCACAATGGCAGAGGCCTATACTGTATGTTTCTATGACTGATTCCCTTCCTTTTGGTTTTCCATTACAGTGTTTATTGGCAATTGATTGGATTAATCCTGGTTTTGCAGGTGGAACATTTGTTTAAAGGGGTTCTTTCAAAAAGGTACCACTTGGTAGGCTGGTAGTCTGACAACCAATATTCCATTGAGTTCAATTCAGAATGGAAGGTAAAAACATGTCAGTTTTATTTCATGAATGATTTTGTTTATGTGTACTGTAAAGTGGACCTTTGCAAGTCTGCAAGTCTGCTTGAACAAATCCATGGCGTTCCCAATAAACAGCAACAACTTAACCATTAAAAAAGCAGTCCTTAAATTCCAGCCGAGTGACTGTGCCTAGGCTGAGATGATGTCATTAGTCTACTGCTCCAGCCAAGTGACTCTGCCTGGGCTGAGATGATGTCATCAGTCTTCTGCTCCAGCCAAGAGGCTCTGACTAGGCTGAGATGATGTCATCAGTCTTCTGCTCCAGCCAAGTGATCCTCCCTGGACTGAGATTATGTAATCAGATCAGTCTGCTGCTCCAGCCCAGTGACCCTGCCTCGACTGAGATGATGTCATCAGTCTGCTTCTCCAGCCAAGTGACCCTGCTTCGTCTGAGATCATGTCATCAGTCTGCTCCTCCAGCTCAGTGACTCTGCCTAGACTGGGATGATGTCATCAGTTTGCTGCTCCAGCCAAGTGACCCTGCCTCGACTGAGATGATGTCATCATTTTTCTGCTCCAGCTAAGTGATCCTCCCTGGACTGAGATTATGTAATCAGTCTGCTGCTCTAGCCAAGTGACCCTGCCTCGACTGAGATGATGTCATCAGTCTGCTCCCCTAGCCGTGACTCTGCCTCGACTGGGATGATGTCATCAGTCTGCTGCTCCAGCCCAGTGACCCTGCCTCGACTGAGATGATGTCATCAGTCTGCTGCTCCAGCCCAGTGACTCTGCCTAGACTGGCATGATGTCATCAGTCTGCTGCTCCAG